ATGTTTCTGATTTCAGATTCACAATCTGACTGATTTAAGGTTTACTTTCACTCTCAAGAGCTAATTGAGAATGGTTACTTATCTCAGCCTTACTCTAATAAATGCAACAGTATGCTCACTCTTCCTAATTTTTAATTAAATGCAGTTGTTATGATTATATCTCATGCATTTTATTACTTCCTCATGTCACAAAAGACACATCTGGCTGTGCACAAAGCATTATAACAACAGAGTAAAAAGCATGGCCTGGAATTAAAAGTGTCTTGTCTCCTTCTCCTTCTCCTGGCTAAGTGGTAGAACAGGTGACTTAAATCTATATAAGCCCCTTAAAATCTCTGGGCACCCACCCACCCCCCATTCTGCCCCAGCTACGGATCCCAAAGAACAGAGCACACACAAAGTTTGTACAAAACTTAATTTACTAAAATAACTCAGTCTTTTTCAAAACAAAGGCTGTTAATAAACTTTCTTAGCAGCCTACAAGAAAGATAAAGTAATCACAATCTTACTAAGGTTGGCAGAAAACCCAGAAGTAATTCTGCACAGAATCCAGACGCAAAGTAGAGTGAACTAAAGTTGTTTCCTACAAATTGCTTCAGTCGGCGTTCCTCCTTAAATAGGCTAAGGGAGTGGCCAATTAGCCCCAAGCCTTACTCTTGAGGAAACCTCCTCCTGAGGAGCCACTCCTGCCTTTTGGCTGCTCTGCGCGCCCGTGCATTGAGAAGAGGCTCCTCCTCTTCGTCCTCTTCACTTAAGGGAGCTTCTGGAGGTTCTGAAGGCCTGGCTGAATCCCTGTCTCTGGCACCACATCTTCTACAGCCTCCTCATTGTCTGACTCGAGTGCCAGCTGCACAGACTGCTGACGCAATACCACACCAGCCTCCTCGCTGTCAGAGTCAGCTAAAATCCGCACAGACCGCTGACAGGCCACAACACCCCCCAAAGATCCTGGCTTTGCTGATTTTCATAGCATGGTCCTCAACATGCCATTCATAGCCGCTGGGACATTTGAGTTTTGGAAATTACCCACTCCTGTGCTAGATCCTTCAACTTAGATTAACGAAACTCAATTGCTGTGCTCATTGCTGTGTTTTGAGATGTTAAGGCAGCACTAGAACTCAAGGTCTCCTGGTTTTTAGCCTGGTGTCTTAACCACTACACTAAATTGGTTCTCTCTCCTTTCACTTACTTATCAGCAATAATTTCTCTATGCACATTTATATCCTCTCCTTCCTTCACATGGTTGGCCTTGGACAATGTCTGGCCTGAATTTGTGCTGGGAAAAAACAAACACATAATGAGATCATGTAGTTTGGATCATGTAGTTGCTTTAGGCAGCAAGCTAGAAATTAGGAGGCCAGAATTCTAGGCCCACCATAATTACAAAGCCAGCTGGGTGACCTTGGATCAGTCACTTTTTCTCAGTCTTCCTTTCTAAGGAGGACAGCAGTGGCAAACCACTTCTGAAATCTTGCCAAGAAAACTGTAGAGGCTAGTCCAGGCAGGTTTCCAGGAGTCAACATTGACTCAAAGGCGTGCATGTGTGTGCATGTGCACATTCACACACACACACACAAATAAAACAACTCCCTCAGAAATGATTTACAGAGGCACACACTTTTTCCCCATGACAAATATACTAGCAACACAAACAGTATATAGATACACTAATGTACAGAATCATAATTCATAAATTGTGAAGAGTGGAGATGGAATGTCTCATCATTAGATAGTCTTTGAAATGTTCTGGATATTGGCAAATCATACAACTGGATTTAGAAAACAGTAATCTTCACTAATTGTTATCATATCTGATCCATCTAGATCCATCAAGATTTGTTGCATGTTTTGGAGATGTATGTCAGGCCTACTTTATATGGTTTCTAATCATTAGCTTGCATCTGAGAAGTGCCATCAAATCTTTTGAAATGATAAACATTCCAAGTCCCTTTTGGATGTTTCTATTAAAGTGTGATTGTGGTATTTTTAATATGGATGGCACAGTATGGTAGAGCCCCATAGACTAGAGATGTTTTCTTCCATGGATACACATTTTCCACAATAGCTGAGTTTCTTATTGTAAAAGTTTGTGCCGTTTGCATCCTCGTGTGCTGCTTTGTGCTGGTTCCCTGTACCTATAGTTGGCAACTAACAAATGTAGCAATTTAGAGTGCAGGAGATGCTCAAATAGAATGGATGCAGGGAATACACCCACAGTAGTACATAATGCAATTGCCTCTTGTAAACATTTTTGCTGTGCTTGGTTGGCATTTTGTCTTCAACCTCCACAATTTGTAGAACTTTCTGGATGAGTTCTGAGATAGGCTATAAATTGAAAAGATGAACTCAAGATGAGCATTACAAAGCATTTTTGGTGCTAGAAGCATCCAGCTGAATATAGATGAATATCACTGATGAGGGGCAGTGCAAAAATCAATTGATTCCTTGAATGGGGAAGGCAAAACAGGCATTTAAGCAAGTGGCACTGTGTAATCCAACAGCACTGATTAACAAAGGAAACAAGACCCAATACAAATGCCTGCTTCCACATCTATAACTGGGAACCAGACATGCTCCACAGGAAGAAGTTTGATTTTACAATGCCTCGGTTTCTTTTCTGTGTGTTTGTTAAAGAAACCACATGTGCCCATGGATTATAAGGCATAAAAGGTCCAATTTTCTTATTAGTTTGCAATCTGAGACTAGAGAGCTATAGGTGTTTGTTTGTTTGGATCTCATACTAGAAGTCTCATGACCTCCCCCTTAAAGTTGGGGTGCATGTATATAACTTTGTATTACAATTGTTGTATTCATGTAATGTTAAATTGTTTTTATATTGTATTGTAAGCCACCCAGAATTACTTTAGATATACATTTAATAATTAAATAAATTCACCACAGGCAATTGAGAGGCTAGTTCCAACAAGAATCAAATTAGTGAATATAACCACTGTAAATCATTTTCTAATTGCCCCAAAACTTCAACCATTACATCCATTAAGATATTTTCTGATATTATATTGCATTAGAAAAAGATTGTAGAAAGAGGTCTGGCTGGGGAATTCTGGGAGTTGAAGTCCACAAGTCTTAAACTTTGCCAAGATTGGACACCTCTGCCCTACAGCAAGTGAAGAATTGTTATAGTAAATCAAAAAATGAGAGTGGGAATGAGGTTTTACTTCCAAAAGAAACACTAAGAAGGACAGTGTATTGCAAAACATGGACAATACTATCTCTATGGCTTCAGGAGAATGGCGTTAGTGTGATACACAGACCAGTCACTGGCTACATTTTCACAATATAGTAAACTTTATTATTTCTAATTTGGGTTTCAAGTTACTATAAATATCCACAAGAGAGTTCAGGGGTGGGTGTGGAGAGAGAAACAGCAGATGGTAAATGACATTCTGTGTATTAGAAATGAATGCATAAATGGTTCATTTATGTACTTGTGTTAGTTATCATGAGGTGGAGCCAAATTACATAAGTGCCTCACACTATTGGTTTAATGTAATTGTGGATTATAGACAACAGCTATTGGAACAACATTACTACATTACTGTAGTCCTCAAATTATGACCACGGTTGTGCCCAAACTTTCCATTGATAGGAAAGGCAGTTGTTAACTTAGCTTTGCCCCACTTTACAACCTTTCTTGGAACAGTTGTTAAGTGAAACACTGCAATTGTTAAATTAGTAACACAGTTGTTAAGTGAATCTGACTTCCCCATTGACTTTGCTTGTCAGAGGGTCACAAAAGGTCAGTCATAAATACCTGCCAGTTGCAGCTGCTGAGCGTCCAACTTATGATCATGTGACCACGGGATGCTGCAATGATTGTAGGTATGAAAAACAGTCATAAGTCACTTTAGCTTCAAATGGTCGTTAAACAAATGATTGTATATACTGAACAATAAACTAACCACAGCACCTGGATTTTTAGAACACTCACCTTCTGTTTATAATAACAAGTAAAAAAGATGGAGTCCCTGTGGTTACCAGTATTATTCCACTAATTGTTGCCAACTGTAATGGGTGGTGCTCATCTCCATTTCAAGGCCATTGAGCCATCCCTGTTGGAAGACATTTCCATGGTCATGTGGCCAGAATGAAGTCAGGGAGCACTGTTATCTTCCAATTGAAGTGGTACCTAGTTATCTACTCGCATTTGAATGCTTTCAATCTGCTAGGTTGGAAGGAGCTGGGGCGAGGTTGGAAGCTCATCCCTTTGGGTGGCACTTGGGTCTCAAACCTAGGCTTTCCAGCCAACAAGTTCAGCATCTTAACCAATGAGCCACCATGCCGCTCAGGATAATAACAGGAGTAAGTAATAGTCACAACAACAGTGATAAAACTAAAAAGTAAAGGGATTGCTTCCTCTAGGAATCCCTCCCCCCAAATTATCATTGGAGCCACTTGTTTCATAATTACCTCACAAGAGAGGCATGATAGGGATATTCAACCAGCTTCATGCAACAACAATTTTCTGCTCCTAAAGAATGGTATCATAATCCAACTGGAGGGACAGGTGTACAGATATTTTCCCCATGGCTGTACATGGAGATGTTGGGAATAAACTTGGACTTTGGACCCCTGCACAAAAAAGATAAGCTCCATAGCTGAACTGTTATTCTTCAAGCATGCACATACATATGTTTTAGATTAAGAAACCAGAGTTAATACATAGGCTGGTGTAAACAAATATGGGCATTTTATACATAACCTCTCTCCAACTGTGCTATTTAAGTTGACCATGTTTGTCCAATCATTTCCAAAAAGACCAGAGAAGCCGATTGCAGTTAATGTGTAACCAGCTTCATTACCTTTCACCCTTTTCACATTTACCTTTCATTTTCTTAGGCACCTGCCACTCCCCTAGTGCACAGATCCAGGAAGGAAGAGCACCCGGGAGAAAGCAGAGGAGCACACCCAGAGAGAGCTTGGCATGAGCTCTGAGGTAAATAGTTTTCTTCCTGCAGGGAGCATTTGGAGAACAGTGAAAAGTATACAAGCAGGATAAATATTTCAGATTGAAATGTCCTGCCTCATGGCCATGCACAATTTGGGATGAAACGGAGCAGGGGTAGGGTGTGCGGGTGTGCATGTAAACACGGGGGATGGGAGAATCCTCTCCAACAGGAAACTACACATTTGCTGCTCCGTTAAACTGGAGGCAGAGTGGCTCAGAATCAGGAAATCAGACTCCTTTTTTTTAGCAGAAGGTAAGCAATATGAAACTTCTTAAGTCTGTGTGTCTTGTATCTGAGGAAACCTGGGGCCAAGTTCTATATAGAGACAAGGACATCAGCACTGAGACCAGTCCTTAAAAACCTGAATGACCAATGAAGATCAATGTAACTTTGCAAAGCCACTAATGCCTCTTCAAAATCTAATTTATTGTGATTTTTTAAAACCTGAGTTAGCCAAATGCTTCTGCTTTTTTCAAAACTCATTTTTTCATTTTTTTTCTTTTTCTTCTTGCAACTACCTTAGACCATTGAGCAGAAGTAAGAAAGAATTGTTTTAGTGTGCTAAATGCAATAATGATTGACAGGAAAGGCAGATAACCCCAGGAAGAACCATGTGGTTTGAATCTTAAAGCTCACATTATCAGATTCAATTAGTAAGAGACAACCTGTTGCCCTTCAGGGGTTATGGATTTCAATTTCTAGCAAAGGCAAGGATTTGTAGTATACAAATAACTTGTACTGCCTATAATAGAGACATCTGTTGTCAATCTGCCAAGGCCAATCCTACGGCAGCTCAAGAGATTAACTTCTTGAATTAGGACTAGACTTGCTAGATAGAGTGAGAATGATCTCAAACAACTCAGGTTGGTGGTTTAGAAGAAGCCATAGCAGCAAAGTTCTATAGCAGTGTTTCTCAACTTCAACGACTTTAAGATGTGTGACTTCAACTCCCAGGATTCCCCTTCCATGTTAGGGAAATCCATACATCTTAAAGTCACTGACAACGACTTTAAAGTTGTTGTCCAGATTGTTGAGTACCCAGCATCCCCTAAGCAGTTTTTGCCTTATAGCCTCTTTAATAACAAAATTCTCAGGTATTGTTTTTCTTAAATGACTAATTTCTAGAATTGATTCTTTGACAGATATATCTTTCCCCCTGAATGTTTGAAATATTTCATTGTCTGTAAAATTCAGCCAGAGAGTTAAAGTAAGAGTACGTGTCATCTTATTGCTCTATTGTCTACCCTGTATGCTTTTTTGTTTTATGTTGGTTGGTCAATAATCATAATAAACAATATTTCCATTCCTTGCAATTCTTCTCAAACATACTGTCATCCCCATATAAACCAAGAATCACAATTAGCTGATGAGGCAGAAGGGCTTCTGTAAATATTTTATCCTTTATTATTTTTTTATAAACTCAAGGCAGCAAACACACCTAATGCTCCTTGCTCCTCCTGTTTTCCCCAACAACAACTCTGTGAGGTGAGTTAGGTTTAGAGAGTATGACTGGCCCAAAGTCACCCAGCCGGCTTTCATGTCTAAGGCATGAACTTACTTGTTCTGAAAGGGCTAAAGAAAACTCACTCTTTTCTTCACCAGGGGAGAAGCTGACAGGAAAATTATGAAGCTGTTTGTGTTATTTGCTTTTATAGTTTGTCACTTTTGTGGAGAGCAATGTATTTAAAACAGAAGTTTCCCATTGACAAAAGCAAAGAGATGCAGCAAAATTTCATGCAGTTGCCCCTCCTGAACACTATGTGGCTTAATTAGCAGGAGCTTCATTTTGAACCAAACTGCAACTGACTTTTCTTCTACCAATCCCTCCCGCTTCTTTGAAGTCAAACAATTGTCCTTTTCCAACTTGATTGTTCAGCATTTTAATGTTATTTCAGATTTTGCTTTTATTCATTTATTTTTGTTTATCTTCCTTTCTGGCCTGAATTTTCTGTTTTACTTTTTTGATAATGCCTCCTTCAACATCAATCTAGTATGACGGGCTCCTCTTGCCGTCTTACCTGATTTCCGGCTCTGTCTCCCTAACCCTAACCAGAGGAAATGGTGGGGACCGGCTGTGCATGCATTTAAATATTTTCGGGGAGGGCTTATTTTCAATATGTGCTTATTTTAGCACATGCGCTCAAAAGCCCGATTGGGCTTATTATCAGGGGATGTCTTATTTTGGAGAAACACTGTATCTCAACTTGAATGGTAAATTTAAACAACCAGGATTGGATCATGGTATCCGATTAGCGCTCAAGATCAGATATTACAATCACCACAACCACAATCCTGTGGATGGTAGGTACATGCCCATGTACACTATTTATATTATAAATGTAATGTCAGCATTCTGATGCTGCCATAAAAAGGAGGAGATGAGGCTTGACTTTTCACCTACTTATTTTCTCTGTAGATAATATCCCCTAGGAGATGGTATGGGAGAGGGGACATTCCTGTGGGGTAGGTCAGAAGCTGGGGAGACTGACTTGGAAGATGGCCAATGAGAAGATGAGAATTGGGGAACGGAAAGGGAAGGGTTTGGGGGTCAGACTTCGGCTACGATGAAGTCGGGGCCAGATCTGTCGTACTCAATAACTGGAATATTTCAGCAAAGATTAATTGTTTGGGAGTGCAATTTATTTGAGATGACATTGAAACCTGACATGTAAGTTGCACTCATGGTTTTTAACTGGATTTACATATAGTATTGTCTGTCTGAGGTTTGCATGAATATATTTTATGAAGTCTGATACTGTGGTTTCTAAATAATTTAAATAATCTAAATAATAGCAGCAATAGCACTTAGACTTATATATCCTCACAGTGCTTCACAGCCCTCGCTAAGCAGTTTTACAGAGTCAGCATATTGCCCCCAATAATCTGGGTCCTCATTTTACTGACCTCGGAAGGATGGAAGGCTGAGTCAACCCTGAGCCAGTCAGAATCGAACTCCTGCAGTGAGCAGTCAGTTAGCTTGCAATACTGCATTCTAATCACTGTGTCACCACAGCTCTTAAATAACATGGGATATTGTGTCTATCAAGTGAGTGTGGTATGCTGGACAAACCATACTTAGCACTTATAGCAATAGCACTTAGACTTATATACCGCGTCACAGTGCTTTCCAGCCCTCTCTATGCAGTTTACAGGGTCAGCATATTGCGCCCAACAATCAGGGTCCTCATTTTACTGACCTCGGAAGAATGGAAGGCTGAGTCAACCTTGAGCCTCGTGAAATTCGAACTGCCAAATTGCAGGCAGTCGGCAGTCAGCAGCAGTAGCCTGCAGTACTGCATTCTAACCACTGCACCACCAGGGCTCACAGAATTTATGAATCAGGTAATATGCGAGGTGTACAAGTTTTTTAGGAGGCTGAAAATAATCATGTTTTACTTTTCACATTGTCACCTTGTTACAATACTGTTAAGTTGAGGTCTGGCCCATAAGATTGTTGTTGTATCACCAAACATGCATTGCATTCTTTTTCTCTCCTGCAGTTTTTTTTAAAGCAAAATGAAAAATATTTGGTACCTCTGGATCTCCAGCATCCTTTTGCCATGGTCTGAGATATCTGGACATCCTTGTAACATTGATAAAATGGTAAGCAAGGAATGATTTCTACAAATTGTAGACTAGATTAAATGTTCTCAATGGGAGAATCTTAGACCGTGAGAAAGCCTGATGACTGGTTGAATACAGGTTTTGTAGATAAAGTTCAAATTTACATAATTACCATAATAAACATGGTAATTGAGATGATATGAACAAATCTCTATCTTCCTCAAATCTTGGCTATTTAGATTTCTTTAAATCTAGCTATCAGATGAGGTGTCCTGAAGCACACACTCTCAAGACTGCACAAGCAGATGGTTGATAACTACTACATCAAGTCTTCTTTCAAGAAAGCTGGATCCTAAACATGCACTGCCACCCTTGAAATAGCTTATTGCTCCAACCTGGGATGAACATGTGTAACAAAGAATGGTGAAAGCGAAGAGAGCTAAAGGGTGATGTGTAATTAACACATATTTTTTTTCCCACATATAAGTTCTGTGTAAAAGGTAAAAGTAGCTCAAGATATCATCTTTGACAAAAGTGAAGGATGGGGGAAATGTTACAAAATAAGTGCTGCCTGTTCAATGTGAAAGTACTGTACTATACTAAGTAACTGAAAGTATTTAATTTTTTATTATAACATTTGGCAAAAAAGAAAAGGTTTCTAAAAACTTTATCTGTTTACAACCAGTAATATCAAAAACCACTTATGAGGTAATATATCAAGGTTCCTGGAAAATAATCCAAATTTTATTTTAAACTCTGTTTTTAGTTTTACGTAAAAGAAGGGAACAATGTGATTTCACTCAATGATTCTTGTGGAAAGAAAAATTCCCAAGTTAGTTTGAAACATTAATTCCATTGAATTTCTTAATATTTCACATGTGGTTATATTTTTGTAGGGACAGGCTGTCTGCAGTGGAAAGAGCCTTCTCCATCCTCCCAGTTTTCTTCCCAGACATATTACCATTCTAGATCTATCTTTCAATTCTCTGACAATGCCCAAGCATGGACCTTTTCTGAGCAGCTTCCCTTCCTTACATTCCCTAAATCTTTCCAGCAACAGCATTCCTACTCTTTCCTCCTCCCTATTCTGTAACCTTGGTGCTCTTCGCCTTTTGGATCTAAGCAGCTGTGACATTTCTTATGTGCACCGAATGAGCTTCCGAGGTTTGAAAAGCCTTCACTCTCTACATCTGAACAACAACAAACTTCAATCTCTGGACCTCTCCATTTTTCCTGCCTAATTCTAATTAATTCTCCATATTAAACTTCAGGGGAACCCTTCAGTGTGCAGTGATTCCTTAACTCCTTTCCAACAAGCAGTGCCAGAAAAAGAAGGTGAGGCTAAGATTATCCAAGAGAAGGGATTCAGTAATATGTTCTTCTATCAGGGTAAAAAAAAGCTACGCATGTTTCCCCAAAAATAAGACCCTGTCTTATATTTTTTTTGAACCCTGAAATAAGCGCTTGGCCTTATTGCCATGTGCACAAAAGCCCGACTGGGTTTAATATCAGGGGATGTCTTATTTTGGGGGAAACAGGGTATGTTGAATCAACTTTTGTGTTAGTACACAAATAATATTATTGCATGGCTGACTTTCTTGGTTGTGCGTAGGACTTAGTTTTGAGTTATGAAAAAATAATGACTGTGTGAATACGTGCAACATCTGTGCGTAACATCTTAAAAAGAGCACAAGACCAATCTTATAAATGTTTGAATCTTTCCAGTTTCATTGGGGGGGGGGACCCACACAAACAACTCTCACTTTGCTTAAATGTGAGTGACTCAAGACACTAAGGCAAAATTTTCACTGATGGTTTATTGAATAATCAACAATTGCAGAGTTTACATATCACTGTGATTTAAAAATTATTGCAGTTGAGGTTATACTTCATCCTAAAGCAAATATAAATTATAGTTTAATGCAATACATGAACTCAGTCAATATGTTCATGTATTATACATTAACAGTTAAATAGTGGACTGGAATGCAAATATATCTGGTAGTCAATTTAACAATTAAAACAAGGATATTTGAGCAACCTGAGTGTATAAATGAAAAAGTTTTCCTTATCTTTTTAAGTTTTGTAAAAGAATGTCTGCACATTTTATCAATGAAATGTGAGAACCAACATATAGTAAATCAAGATGTAGAGCAACAGAAACAAACAAACAAACAAACAAACAGTGAAGCTATTTCTTAAACAGATTGTCTATCATTTAAACATAGAACTCCATACTCAAGAAATCAGAACTTCGGATTATGAGACTGTGAGCCACAGAAGAAAACTTCATTTCCTTCATATTGTGGCTACGAAGAAGCCATCACCATTAGAAAATGCTAGTAAGTGAAGCAAAATATACGATTCCAACTTTGTAGATTTAGAGTAACAACACAATTGTATGGTTTTTATTCCATGTGGCATTCCTCCCTCCAGTCCCAAAGCTATCACAAATTATTCCCTAGAAAACTTTTCGTTGAGATGAATTGGAGTCCTAGTCATCACAAACCAGGATCCATTGCTGATCCAGGCCAACCAGGCCATTTGGCAGTGAGGAAGTTCCTACTTTGATAAAAGTGATGGGAGTCCTCTGAAACTATAATGATAAGAAATATCACTTTTTCTCATCTTCCCCCAAAGGTCCCTTTGAAGGGAGTGGGGTTTGCAAAATAGTTGCTTTGAAGAGAAAAAAAGAAAAAAATTGGGAAATCCTGTTCAGATTTTTTTTGGTATTTAATTCGATCTTTCTAAAGGGGTCTATTTAGTAGCTTTTAATTGGGGTAATCAGCCCACCCTAAACCCATACAACAGACACTCTCATGGATACATACACAAAACAAAGGAGGAAAAACCCGATCAGAAATGATTCAGTCTTAAAACAATCTGATAGCTGATGCCCTAATCAATGAACTAACCCATACACTTTTGATTTTTGTTGCTGTTCCTTATTTCTTCTTTGAGAAATTATTTCTAACACATTTTAATGACTATTATTTTAAACCAAGATTATATATGCTTGTCAAATATAAAGAATAAGCACAAGGAATTTCAGTGTCATTTTTACTAAAGCCCACAACTCTCTACATGAAATGGCTGTATTTTGAGTCGGCATTGGCCTATTTGGGTGTGGTACAACCCCGTACTCCAAACCATGTTTTTTTTTAACATCACACTGAACTATTAACTAAAAACATAGGTTGGGCTTCTATACAATGTTGGGCAAAAATGTGGTTTGGTGTGTTATGTGATCCCAACCATTTGCTTTTTATTTTCCAGTCTGTATCTCAGTGTATTCCTGTACCTCAGGCTATACTGAAGAATTATTAAACAGACAATAAACTATATAACTGGGTGTGCATTTTGACTGCTCTGCTCACTCCGCAATATTATTTCATTTTCTAGAGAATGACATCCTTTGCAACAGAGAAGACAAATGGTGTTTTATTTCTTAATAATGGAAGCCAGGTCTTTCATGGAACTTTTCTTCTTTTTATTCCCTGTTTACATTTTGTAAGGGGAGAATACTGAGGCAGTCCTATTCATATTTATTCAGAAGTACATTCAGTGAATTCTATTGGATTTACTTCTACATAAAAGTTTTCATAGGATTTGCAAGCTTGGAAATGCAACTAAAAGAAAGTATTACTCAGATCACCCACAGAAGCATAAGGTGGCAAGTGGAGGCTAGTACCATGATGCAAATGCCACATCTCACATATTTGCATCACATATCAGAACACAAGTAATGGTAGTGGTACTATTTACATGATGGCATCACCACGCACACGTTATCATTTTGGCATAATTGTAGTTTGGTGCAGCCTTCCAGTACATTAATAGCTCTTGTATCTTATAACCTTTCTTTTCTTTGCAGCAGCAGCTATTACCACACCTTCTACTGTAACAGCTGGGAAAAACTGGATCTACTTTGCTGGTTTTGTGCTTTTGGCTATCATCATCTCTCTCCTGATTGCATTGATTGTCAAATGCAAATTGCTCCAGAAAAAGCATGCCAGCTATCATCATCAACGGTTGTCCGATTCTCGCTCCGTTGGAAGCAGCCATATTGAGGAAGGAGACATGGACATGATGTATGGGAGGAACCAACCAATAAGTGGAGCTTCTGAGTGCTATCCAGAGGATGATGATGGTTTCATAGAAGATAACTATATTGTGCCCAATCAAGACTTGAAGGAGGAAGAGGAGGATCTGGAGTTGGAACCTCATTTCAAAGTTGGAAGATCCTTTTAGGAACAGAGTTCAGTTTGTTATGTGTGCATAGAGCCTATTTTATTTTAAAGGTTCCTGATACTTTCATTATAGTAGGAAACTGATAATGAGCCCAAAGGCAAATTTGACTCTGGGCAAAGAGGTCAGCCGCACGCCTGCAGTGGTTAGAGCTTAGTACTGCATGTTTTCCTAAATATTAGTCCAGTGGAAGTCTGAGTTCTCTCTTACACACACTCAACCCGTTCTCTTGCTTACACCCAGACAGACACATACTTGGTTCATTCTTTTGTATTTGTTTTTCTTGTATACATACATCAACCACAATTTTTTACAGCTTACATTATAACTGGTGGAGGTTTCGAAAGAGTCTGTTTGAAGCATAGGAAATAATTTTTCAAATGAACTGCAGCATTTGGCAAGAGCAGTTTGTCCTCCATGACTTTCCCCTAAAACCCCACATGTGCCTTGACATCAAATAATTGTTTTTTAAAAGCTTGATTGCTCTGTGGGTTAAGAAAAAACTGTTTCCAAGCAGCTGGTGGGAAGGACTTTGCCCCTGGGCCGCATTAACCATCTTCCATAAATGCTATGAATCTCATTGAAGAAGTTTCCTCAACCTTATCACAACTAGTGAGTGCTACCTGTGGGTGTGGGAAGCTTAAATGATTGCCACAAAATGATACAAAAAAAGAAAAAAAATAGATCTAAACTGATGTTGCTATAATAACAGTTTGAGATTCTCCTTTTTCCTGAAAACTCACTGATTTATTAAAAGGAATTTGGAGCAAGTGCTTCATTGCTGTTACTAAGCCTTTCTTTATTACAGTAGTTATTACAGCATAATTGGGACATCCTGACAACTGTAGTCAGGGCCGGATTTAGATGAAAAGAGGCCCTAGGCTATTCCACTTATGAGGCCCTTTCACCTATAGTGAAAGTGTAATTTTAATTTTGCTAACAATTTGAATGTAGGCCCCTCTTGATCTTGAGGCCCTAGGCTGAAGCCTAGTTAGCCTATAGGAAAATCCGGCCCTGACTGTAGTTTTTACTTTTGCCCCTATGATGCTGGCCTTGCTTTATATTAAGGACAATAATTATGCTATCTGTCCTGGTCAGTGGTGGGATTCAGCCGGTTCTCTCTGGATTGCACGAACCGGTAGTGGTGACACTGGGAGGCTCCTCCCACCCGCTCAGACGTAATGCACGACTACTGCGCATGCACAGAGGTAGCGCGTGCGCTCACATTTGCGAACCAGTAGGGAAGGTAAGTGAATCCCACCTCTGGTCCTGGTGTTGGCTAGATAGGGAGTTCTTAACTTACAACCATTCGTTTAGTGAGCATTCAAAGTTACAATGGCACTGAACAAAAATGACTTACGTTCCTTCCATTTATGACTGTCACAGCATTCCCACAATCATACAATCAAAATTCAGGTGCTTGGCAATCAGTATATATTTATAATGGTTGCAGCATCCCAGGTTGATGTGATCTCCATTAGCAACCTTTCCCAGCCAGTTTCTGCCAAGTAAAGTCAATGGGAGAAGCCAGATTCACTTAATGACAGCATGTTTCACTGCTGTTTAATTGCACTGATTTGTTTAAGGACCATGGCAAGCAAGGTTCTAAAATTGGGTGTGACTCATCTAACAATTGCCTTGCTTGGAAATTCTGGCCTCAATTGTGGTCATAAGTCGAGGACTACCTGCACCACAAAATATCCACCAATTGCAAAAAACCAAGGAGTTAGGGTGCTCATGCCAGCATCATTCAAATGCTGTGCTATGCTAACAATTACTACTACAATAACCTCAGTGTTATTGCTTGACAGTATACGGAAACAAGCAAATTTCCCCTTGTGGAACATGTGCCACTGTTGGCCACATGTTAGAATACTGTAGTAGACATTAAACAACAAAGAGAATGATGCAACTACAACAAGAAGAAAGTATCTAATGCCCTAAAATCACCAGGTTTGTCTTCTGACAGCCACAGTCTGTGGATTGAAATGGAGGTGTGTTTTTTTTGTCTTGTTATCTAATCATATTTCAAAGTGATAGTAACTAGTAGATTTGCTTGGTGTGTAAAGAGCGTGGGAATTCTGCAACATTCACTGTATATTCTCTTCTCATTGTGTATGCAATAATTATGTCTCAGTAAATTTTCCCATGCATGGTTGGTAAGATTTAATTAAGCATCACCAATTTCTGTATGATGAAAAATCTGAAATAATGGATTTGTACAAAAACTGCAGTAACCTTCTCATTAGTTTCTCTTTATATTTACCACAGATTGTGCAATTTTGTTTGACTTCCTTTGACTTCCAACAATCTTAATAATTAATTAATTAAAATATTGTCATAATTTCTCATCATTTCTTCTTTGCCCCATTCCAGAGTTCTTCAAAGCTTTAAACAGCCTCTTTTGTAAATCCAATAAGAAAAAATTATCCAAGTCACATCTTTGGTTTGTCATTTGTACTTCCTTTTTAAATTTTAAAATCTCAGCTAGTTTCTTTGTAGATCCAATGAAACATCCTTTTATAAGCTGTCCTGTCAATTATAAATCCTGTCAATTGTAAATCCACTTTCAATACCATTTTTTATCTTGTCAGATAAAATCTGTTCTACATCTTTCATTTTTTCAATAACATCCTTTAAACAGTCTATCCATAAAAGTAGATATCATTACTGACATTATTGATATTGCTGCTATTATTTTCTGATTCCATTCTTCAAAAGTTTCATTCAGTATTGTTATGGTTTACAAAATTTTATAGGCTTGTTAATCTTTTCTCTTTAGTTCCCTCTAGTGTCTAGTTTTTGAACTCATGAAATTGCTTATCTGTTTGCTGTTTATTTCAGATATTTTAAATCATTATTTTTTATTATTTATTGTTTGTGGTGGCCTAGTGATGAAGACACTTGCCTCCCACTTGGAAGGTTGAGAGTTCAATCCTAGTGAGTGGCAGATGTTTTTCTCCTAGAGCGCAAAGAAAAAATATCTGGTATGGCATCAGGAAAGGTATCTGGTCAGTAACACTCAGCTCCATACAACTGCCCTGAATCTACCTGAATTAAGGGATTATAGGGTCATAAAAAGGAAATTCATTATTTATTATTTACTAAATTTGTTTGTCACCCATCTCGCCACAAGGAGACTATGGGCGGCTTACAACATTAAATTCTTAAGGTTATGATTACAATTTTTTTTTTGGTTCGGGTTTGAAGATAGACTCAACAGCATTTTCCCACTTGTCATTTTGAAAGTCTAATAGCTTTAAAATAATTAATGACCAATTCCTGAAAGTGAGAAAGCAAGGCTTGAGAATTTAATATCCTTTAAAAGTCTCTGTTGTGGTTGTGAAAAAAATGGCTAATCCCATTATCTCCTGGCACTCCTTCCAAAGGAGAACTACTGTCCTTGCAAAAAGCAGCTCCTCTCCTTATCTGGAGAGATTCCAAGGAATTGGTCTATTCACCCATTCTTTGGTCTTTGCTGCAATTATCAGCAACATTTTCGCAGCGCCATCTTCAGTTTGCCATCCAATTTGGAAATTCAAATTACACACAATAGTTCTGTCTTCTGTCTTCTTTGAAAGTAGCTTCTCTCAATACCATAAAACAGAAGGAAGCAATGATTCATAAGCCTCCAAACCTTAAACTCTAAATCTTACTTAAGAGCAGATTAAACATAGTTATCTTATTTGTTATTTGATTTCCTGCTATGGTCACTACAATATTTTGTCCATGAAATGTATGGGATTTGAGGTTCTGAGGAGGCAGTACAGTTGTTCTTGAATGTGCAAATTATTAAGTGCTGTAATTTCTCATTTAGAAAGTATGAAATCTCTTCTATGATACAGCTACTTAATACATGAATACGAATGTACAGAAATCTCAATGGGTGAGACTATTACATAAATAAATACATACCTATCTATTTAAGCACATGTGGGAATTGTGATTTAGGACTTCCACATGATTGGACCAATCAAATTCCTCACTCAAAGTATTACCTCAAAGCATGTCATCAAGCAGAATAACCCTTCTCCCTGGATCACATTCTTTCAGTGTTGCACAATTTTCATCTAAACTCATCGCTGGTTCTTCCATTATTATGATTCACTGGAACGTAACATGCAACTATCACCATTCTATGGATTCCTTCTTTCATATGCATCCACAACAATCCAGATGACACATGTTCATACTTTCTGACATGCATTTTAGTTCTTTCATTCATCATTAAATCTACACCAGGAATATTCATCAGTTCCATTCCACAAAATTAGAGCATCTTCACTGAGTTTTATTACATTCTATCCCTTTGTCTTAGATTTTTTTTTCAGTACAAAAGATACATATTTACAATCAGGGCCGGATTTTCCTATAGGCTAACTAGGCTTCAGCCTAGGGCCTCAAGATCAAGAGGGGGCCTCAAGATCAAGAGGGGCCTACATTCAAATTGTTAGCAAAATTAAAATTACACTTTCACTATAGGTGAAAGGGCCTCATAAGTGGAATAGCCTAAGGCCTCTTTTCATCTAAATCCGGCCCTGTTTACAATATATCTATTTTTCTTAAATGTGTTAGTTCATGCTCCTTACTATGTCACTCCTCTTACATCCCAAGCCACAATCTTTCATATGCAAAACTTGTCTTACTGCCATAAGGATACTGACTTCTGCCACCTATCATTGCTTTTGTCAGTGTTTATATAAAACTTATAGAAAAATAGAGACAATGCAGAATAGTTGATAGACCCAGCCAAAAACCCTGGTGGAATACTGAGCTGCAGGGTGGAAGGCGTGTCCTGTCCTCCCTGAAATCCTCCAGGACTTCACACCCTGGCCCTCCTCCTGCTTTGTGGTAATAGCTTGTAGTTCCTCCAGCCTTGTAATTCCTGCTTCTACTAGGTATCTTACTTCCAGAGGGCACCAAAGCTGTTTGTGAGAGAAAGGACTTTCACAACCTGTGACATTTTTGTCATGATTAAAAGTTTAAAATTCAAATAGATCTGTAGCTAGAGGATTCACCTCTTCCTGGGAGACAGACATAGGTGGGTTTCAGCAGGTTCTGACCAGTTCTGGAGAACCGGTAGTGGAAATTTTGAATAGTTCGGAGAACCGGTAGTAAAAATTCTGACTGACCCCACCCACATCTATTCTCTGCCTCCCAAGTCCCAAGTGATTGGGAGGAAATGGGGATTTTGCAGTAACCTTCCCCTGGATTGAGAAGGGAATGGAGATTTTACATCCTTCCCTTGCCACGCCCATCAAGCCACACCCACAGAACCGGTAGTAAAAAAATTTGAAACGCACCACTGGAGACAGACCAATCTCACAATCTCACTCTAAAATTAAGAGTTTGCGGAAAATGATTTGAAGACCCTATTCATATATTCATAATATATCAAATTTAACACCGAAAGAATTACAGAGCTGTCAATATGTAGACTATAGCTCCCAGTAAATTAATTAACAAAATAATCAACAAGAAAATACCAGGGCCTGTTTAAACCACAAGATGGTGCTAGTCTGCTTCAAAATTTGAAAAAAGCTCTGGAAGGGTTCAAATGATCAGTGATTAATATACTATATTGTTCTAAATATATAAAAATATGTCTTCATATCCACTTTGTGTGAAAGATAAAGGCTTTTTAAATTAAATGCATTTCCTGGCTGGTCTTGTATTACCTATTTCTACAGAGATGGCAGCTTCTGAAGCAGAAGCCCCTTTGCATATTCTCCGGCACTCCAGCTTCTTGGAGATTTCAAACATTAATCAAATGCTGTCACAAAAGATGTTAGTGTGACACTTGCCCCAACCTTATTCACAGCCCTTTCAAGCTATGCTCTTAATTTTAAAAGGATCAACCTTTTTTTGCAGCACAGAGAGCACCATTATTGCCCATATAATTAAAAACAACCTGAAAACACCAAAATGCAGTAGCAAAAGTGGGAGAAAAGAAAACATTCTCTCTTCTGGCCACATTGTTTGTGACTCCTAAACCATAGTAAGAAAAATTGATCATTTGCCACTTGGTTTAGAGCAGTTTTTTTCAAACCCGGCAACGTGTAAATGTTTAAGATGTGTGCGTCTAAATTCTAAACTCTCAGAATTCTGAGAGTGGAAGTCTACAAGTCTTAAAAGTTACCGAATTTGGAAAATATTTTCAGTGTGAGAAACAGATTTCAGTAGATATAAGTGCCAAACAAACAAAATTTAGTGTGTAGTTCTGTGAACTCGGTAAATCAATTCGAAAAGCAAATGTGTTTTGCAAATCCAGGCATATTATGTTGTGCATAGATTTTCTTGTCTTATCTTTCAGTAATACATGTAATACATTAAAAAAAAAAAACCTCTATGAATTAAAACAAGAAGACTACGTCGTCCCACGAGCCAAAAGTCGGCTAACACCTTAAGGCTCCTGTACGGCAACAATTTCAAGCCCCCTGAGAGCGTGAGCGACTCTTTTCTTTCTATGTCTAAGAGCGCTAAACGGAAGCACTGCGCTAGAAACCTTGCCGCGGATGACGTCATCACACGGAAGTTTGTATTGGGATGTTTTCAAGAAGCGACTGAGTAGTAGTATGTGGACGGGGTGGTTTTTGTGAGTTCGTGGCCGCTTGCAAAAACTTCTGGCAGTCAGGAAAATACAGAAAAGATGTAGGTTGCAAAACTTATGGCTGACCAGCCTAGAGTAGAAGGAGAAAAAGTGGTTTCACTCTGAAACCATCAGCATCTTTTCCCAGGTACTTTCCTCCGGCACATCACTTACCTGGAAGGCATATGCCTGAGAAGACTGGGATAGATCGTTGCATATAATACTCTCACTCATGGCCTTCATGTATACTGCATAGAGTTGTCGTGTATGTACTTGCATTGCACCTGCAGACAATCAAAGGCAGCCTTCTAAAGCAGGGGTCTCCAACCTTGGCCACTTTAAGACTTGTGGACTTCAACTCCCAGAATTCCTCAGCCAGCTTTGCTTTGCTGGCTGAGGAATTCTGGGAGTTGAAGTCCACAAGTCTTAAAGTGGCCAAGGTTGGAGACCCCTGTTCTAGAAGATGCGCCACTTTAATGCTTAGGGGAGAGATGCTTTGTTTGCCCTAACAATGCTTTGCCAAGTGTCCCTTCAGTTGCTTTGCAAAGTCCTGTTTACTAATTTCATATCCGTAGCATCCTGGGCTCTAAATTTCCTTCCATCAGGTAAGACTCGGCAGAGATATTTCTCAGCACTTGCTGCCTGTGATCATATTAGCCAAAGATACCTGTAATTGAACTTGCAGGCTTTTGCAAGTCTAGGTTATGGCTACTATGGTTAAATTTACAGTAGTTCCTCTATAATATGTGCATCCCAAGTTTTTTGGATCTGAAACCAGAAAGAAATTTGGCTTTTAGGATGTCTGCAGTTTTTCACCTGGAGGGAGAGAGAGAGAGACCATATTAATATGGCAGTAAGATTAAGATGTTGGCTAAAGGGTGGAGATATGCTTCCTCCCCTCAATTGTATAAATCTTTTAATTCTAGAATTAGGCTTCAGTATTGTCTGAAATTGGAATTATGAATTTAAAGAAACTGGAAAGGGTTTACATTAAAATCCTAAACAGTCCCAAATGTCTAGCAGACATAGAAAACCTTGCTTAAAGCCACTCTACTGGAAAGGTAAAAAGGGAATATAGTTGACTTTTCGCATAACAGGTGTCCAGAATGCTTTTAATTTTATATTCTTCCCACTAAATTCAGTGGCGCTAACCCCCAAGCAAATGTAGAAAGCATTAAAGAATTTTTTGAACTTTTAATATTTATAGCAAGAAAAAAATGCATATTCTCTGGTTTTCGCATGTTTTGGTAAGATGCAAAGTGAGGATGATTTTGATGCCATAAATATGAGGAAATTAATTGGCTAGCCAACTCCAGTAAACTTTTGAAATAGGAATGGTTGCCTCACAGTTTAATAGCTCACAATTATAGCCAGGTTTCTTGAAGATGTGTGAATGGATCCTGGGTTATGGCTGTCGAATGATACTTGGAAACTAGGAGCCACAGAAATGGGAATAGCAGCAGATTCCTCCACATGTTTTTTCATTTGAATTCCAGTGGAAATTGCTATAACATCTGAGAATAAGTGGATAAGCTTGTATGTGAGAACTTAAGTTTTAGTAATATGGTAATTGGATGTAAGCTATCCATAGGTAGAGGGGTACGTGGTGAAGCAACAAGCTGTTACATTATCTTATTTAATTTTGATTTTCAAAATACACACATGAATCAAATTACATTTCAAAAGGGCTTAGAAGCTGAACAAAGCAACATCTTTTTTCTTCCAGATCCAGTATTGTAGATAGTGCTAAAATCATTTTAAAACAATAGAAATGTAGCTGTATTGTAGTTTAGTTGAGATAAAAGGACCCCCTATCATTGCAAGCATCCTCACATTTCATAAACAACATATCATTCCATTCATCTCCTTTTGCACATATGATGGAAATCAAGAGTTCATAAGGTAGTCCTCGACTTATGATCACAATAGAGTGCAAAATTTATGTTGTTAAGTGAGACATGTGTTAGGTGACTTTTCCCCATTTTACAACCTTTCTCGCCACAGTTGTTAAGTGAAGCACTGCAGTTGTTAAGTTAGCAACGTTGTTCATCGGGCTTCCCCATTGACTGCATGTCAGGAGGTCACAAAAGTTGATCACATGACCCTGGGACATGACAATAAATATGAACCAGTTGTCAAGCATCTGAATTTTGATTACCTGACCATGGGGATACTGCAATGGTCGTAAGTAAAAAATGATCATAAGTCACTTTTTTCAGTGCTGTTGTTACTTTGAACAGTCACTGAATGAGCTGTTATAAGTTGAGGACTACCTGCACAGTACAATTTAAGTAAACTTTACTGACTTTCTTTGCTATTTTACTGCTGTTGAGAAAGCTGGCATTGCAGGAAGGGACAGATATTATAAAGCTCCTCGTCTGCAGATGCTGTACATCCATTTTGCTCTTTGTCTGGAGCAAGATGTTTCTTGAAATAATCAGACCTAGGGACTTCCATTATAAAAGTAAATCAAGTATTATTTCTTCATACACCAGCACACCTATACCACTTTTGTTTTCCATATATTGCATGAATTGATGCTTCCCTGGATTCACAAAGTATGCTTCTCCTGTAAACTTCCTTTTATAATACTACTAATAAACATTCATGAAAGTTACATGCCACCTGACTCCCAGTGACTGGGTGACTTTATCTTGTTTCCAGACTGAAGAACACCAAAATCTTAGGCCTGGAAAATATTATTCCTATCCTCTATTTTCTATCAAGTGCCATTAGTCTGTGGTAAGATGGACGGCCAATAAATTTAATAAATAATAAATAAATAATAATGGCAAGTGGCATAATTGCCATCTCTGGGTTACAACATTCGGGATTGCTAGAAGATAGCAAAAAGAATTATACAAATATAACTTGTTGCTATCATCTTGTGATCACCTGGATTTTTACAGTCTACATCCAGTAGCCATGGCAGCTGAATCTTAGGGTATTTTGCCATGATCCTCAGTGTTCTGGCTAGGAATATATACTTTGTTGGAAATATGCTCTATGTAGCATAGTTATTCTTTAGCATTCATACTTCGGTTGTTCTAAATAGAACTTTGTGCATTTGGGGTTTCTCACTATTACATCGCATAAACTTAAAACTGATTTAATTTCTACAGAGCTGTGGCTTTCCTTTTTGTAAAAGCAAGCTTCTAGTCCTTTTGAATGCAAAAAAGAAATAGGTGGTACAGTAATGCCTCAGAAACCAACGTTAGATTGAAATGGATTTTCAGTGGAACCGCTGAGAAAGAGAGATGCTTCTCTGCATGTTCAAGTTGCCTTAGTTACTTAGGATCACACTTGAGAGTGATAGCCATTTCTTTTCCTTCATTTACATGTCTTTTGAATCTCTCAGTGCTCCAAAGCAAACATCTTGCCAAGAAGCCAGGCCTCAATACTGACTGAGAATAACTGCTCTGTGGCGAAAAGTTCATCACATTGCTGAGTTTGGGTCAGATGACATGTAGGGCAAATCCAACCGTAAAGTCAGAGTAATCTCAGAAGTTGATGGCAGTCACCATTATGTCCTTGATGGTTAAATTAAGTTTGCCATGCTGGAGGTAGGAGGAAATTGCTGACTGGCCGAAATATGTCCTGATACAGTGAAAATTGCACTGTTGTTTGCCGCCCCCTGGTTCTGACGAGTGGCCGTACGGCAGGAAGTCCATGTCAAATAGAACAACAGGCTGAAGAGAATAATTGCTCCAGCGGCTGTGAGCACAATGCCACTGATAAACATGCTGGCAAAGGGGCGCGGGGTTGGGGGGTTAGTGCTGACGCTGGTGGTAGAGATGGCTGTGAGCACTGTGCCACACACCAGCAGCACCAAGGCTGTCAGCAGAAGCACAGCACAGTCCGAGGCGCCTCCGCTCTTCAGCAACTCCACCTGTTCCCGCCTGCGAATGCAGTTCATGTCCTGGATGGCAGAGCTCAACAGCTGCTTCAGTAGTACCAAGAGTGCCAGCAGACAGAGTGTTGTGCCCACTGCCAGCCTCCACTCTCCAGAGCGACTGCTAGTACTGTACAGCAAGGCAATACCACCCACCCCACAGGCTAGGATCAAGGCCACTGCTACTCCGTAGCAAATAAGGGATTTCTTGGGCTCCTGGAACCACCATAGCTCCACATGCTCTTCCAGGATGTTCCTTTGGATCCGGCTGGCATGAGCTGGGAGCCTGGGTTCATTCAGGTGCTCCAGTTCCGCCATGGTGGATGCTGAACTGGCTCATATACAGCAACAACGGGCCACAGGAACTGTTGCTTTCAACTGGCCCGGAGGATGGCAGCAAGGAGGAGGGTGGGCACTTGACACATTTTCCCAGGGATAGAGGCAATGAACTTTTATTTGGTTCCTATCCAAATCACGTTTTTTTTTTCTTGGATGGAAATGATTGAAAGGGAACAGCAGAAATGGAAGACTTTTCTGGCTGAGGCTGAGGCTGAAACTTGCTTCGGCGTTTTGGAGCTCCCTTCTGAGCACGCCCAGATCCTGCCAGTTATCTGTAAAGGAAACAGTGATAAAAAATGAAAAGAGCTTTCTCTCTGAAAAGAAAGAGTGATGAGGACTGGGGTCAAATAGAAGGACTAGGGGAGCAGTGTTCCAATATCTCAGGGGTTGCCACAAAGAAGAGGGAGTCAAACTATTCTTCAAAGCACCTGAGGGTAGAACAAGAAGCAATGGGTGGAAACTAATCAAGGAGAGAAGCAACTTAGAACTACGGAGAAATTTCCTGACAGTTAGAACAATTAATCAGTGGAACAACTTGCCTGCAGAAGTTGTGAATGCTCCAACACTGGAAATTTTTAAGAAGATGTTGGATAACCATTGGTCTGAAGTGGTGTAGGATTTCCTGCCTGGGCAGGGGTTTGGACTAGAAGACCTCCAAGGTCCCTTCCAACTCTGTTATTCTGTTTCTAAATAGGGTTCATGCAAGTCAAATCAGTTTTTTATGGGCCAGGCTATATTCCTATATGCCTTGTCCAGGAAAGTTGAATCATAAGCTTTCCTTGTGGCAAAATGTTTGTGCCAGGAAAAGCAAGATCGTCTAATAATAAGTAACTTATAACTGATACTTGCCCCTATGAAACCTTCGGATGTATTTTCTCATTTACATGGTTTCAATAATTTTATAGCAAAATATAAACATGCAAGAAATGCTTCTCTTATTTCTAGTCTCAGGTTTTAATGCTATTTTAGTAACACCTCCACCTCTTATCAATTTGACGATCATCTTAAAAATAGTTTATCTTTAATAACAGTAACAGAGTTGGAAGGTACCTTGGAGGTCATCTAGTCCAACCCGCTGCTCACGCAGGAGACCTGTACTAGGGATTCGAACTGCTGAACTGCCGACCTTTCTGATCAAAAAGCTTAGTGTCTTAGCTACTGAGTCACCTAGTCATATACTTATACATAAGTATATACTTATATAAGCATAAATATATACTTATATACTCATATACATATACTTATAATCTCTTCTTTAAGAAAAGATGGGTTTGATATTCTCAGGCTGCCAAACTCGGCTCTTTGTACTAGCTTTTGTCTTGATGGGAGGCAAAGAGAAATTATATTTGCTGCAAGCATGTCTCATGACATCAGGATGATAGAGGTTGAAAGGTGGGGGGGAAAGTTTTCCAGTGCGAAAAGGCAAAAACAGGTTCTATATTGAAATCCAGTTTACATCATGTTGGGGTTAGCTTTGCATTTGTTAACAATATTAAGAATATAAAATAGCCTGTTCTTTCACAGATATATTTTTCATAAAATAATTAGAGTAATTATTCTGATCCTAGGGCTCAACCTCATGTCCCTCTAATTACAGTACAAAGATGATACTCTAATGATTATTAAAGGACACCCTCTCATGACATCACTTCTGTCTCCAGCCCACTGCAAAGGCATCCTGAAGACATCTGTAGTTGTTCTACTGTCAAGGTGGTATTTTCCATCTTTTTTCAACACATTTTGCCATACAATGTAAAATGCCTTGGTGTAATTCCTAAAACATTTCACACTGCACATTAAAACAGTATAAAATTAGTCCTGAGTATCACAAAATCAAAACAGCATATTAAAACACAATCATAGTATCAAGGCCTCACAATCGTCCCAATAAAATGGGAAAAGCATAATTACATTTTTATCTACTACGCGCTTGTGAAGTATCACCCTGAAAGAGCAAGCAGAAGACATGCAATGTGCTGTTTAGGTACAAAGTTCTGTTAATTGCAGAAAAAAGGATGCGGCTATTATGTGTCCCATGAGAGCATCTTAATATTTTTGGGAAAAAAGGCAAAAACAGATTAGGAAAGATATAATGCAAAAAAATATCAGAATTGCTTCGCTTGAAGCAAGAGCTCACCCTTATTCTGTGTTTTGTAAATCTGATGAATCTAGAGCTATAAAGGCTTAATGATTATGTGAATAAAAACAATCAACATCAAAAGGAATACCTATACAATATAAATTGAATGACCTAGATAAAAACATGCACTAGAAACTGACATATTTTGATTGATAACGGTTGAGAATAGTTTGATAAATATAAATAGGAGAAATATTTTGTATCGTAATAGAATTAGTGGTCATCCAACAAAACTGAAATGTGATTTTAAAACAAGATGAATTTTCTTATAAAGCACATACAGGGTTGGGAGAATGGACGGAATATCCATAGCTACTTTTAAAATGCTTAGATTAGAAACAGTCATTGATTAGACACAAGCAACAATAGTAAAGTATTAATTTCCTTGGCTGTTACACATCACCTTAGTACTTGATTATTTATTTATTTATTATTTAAATTTGTATATCGCCCTTCTCCCGAAGGACTCAGGGCGGTGCACAGCCAAAATTAAAATACATACAATACAAAATTTAAAATAATTTAAAAGCAGAATTAAATCAAATTGGCTTCCCAAAATATTAAAACCCATTACCCTTAAAATAACCCTTTTAAAATTTTAAGCCAGCCCAGCTTGCAGGAATAGGAAGGTCTTCAAAGCTCGACGGAAGGTACGGAGGTCCGGGATTATAAAGTTTACATTGATCTACTCCAGAAAGGTTGCACACATGCCTTGGAAAGAAGCTTCTTCCATGGACTGGTCTAAATTTCCTGTTACCTTCAATGTACTGTTCTTGTTATGACATCTTAGTTCCAGGGTGCTGGGTCAGTGATTCCTTGCCTTTCAGGAATTCCATGCATAGGTGTTGCAGTCTTGGCTATGTCTTCAATAGGTTGGATCTTCTGTGGCATAAGGGTGTTCATGTCATGCACCAATTCTTAGACTCTTGGTACAAGTCTTCATTTTAGTAGCATTTGCTTCTTGTATTAGCAAAAGCTGATGATTGAAGCAGAGATCCCGCACAATAAGAAAGCTTCTTTCACTGTTCCAGTCTCACATGGTCCCTCATCAGCATCTGCCTCTTGTCACCAACTGGTTCTCTGTGTTGTGAGACAATAGAAGCTTGCATCTAAGCTGTCTTAACCCTTGATAAACACTTTTTCTCCAAGAGCGATTGAGACCTGGGCTTATTATTAGCTTCTTTTCTTCATCCTCAGCTTAAGGTACAAATAACAGGATTTAACTTTTCTAACTTGATAAAGTCGTTGACCAGCATTTAACTGTTTCATACTACTTTGCTCTTCTGGCTTTCCCCCCACCCTTTAGATATTCTGGAAATTAGGCAGGAATCTAGGTGGAAAGTGGATGCTGAATATATTGCAGTATTTAGGAAAAGTAGAAAAAAATATTTCTGGTATCAAGATGGTGATTCCTCACTGGTCCATTTCAAAATCTTTTCAATATTTAATAAAGAATTTAGATTTTCTGGCTTAAATGGCTTTAAATTTTCTGGCTTGCAAATTCTATGTATCTACAATCTTCCTCTGTAGAATATCAAAAGTATCAGAGACTAGAAAATAAAATTATTTTCATAGGCAAATATGACGATTATTAAATCTGGATGGCCTTCATCCTTTGAGGCCTATTTATTTTGCTGAGCTCTGAAACCAGAAAGTCCCTTTGTTTAAAAAGTTACAGTACAGTGTGAAATCTAAGTTCAGAATCTGAATCTGAAGATGTTCAGGAGAAGCTCCTGAAATGTACAATCTGTCATAAAACCCTTTGCATTCTTTACTGAGTCTTAAAAACAATCTATTTACAATACTGTTTTTCTTGTTTTCTTTCTTCCTGCTTCCCTTGTATTTGTTCGCACATGAAATGGACATACAAGATATAACACTGCCTACCTGTCTTTGAAAGTAAACTTTCTGCCAACCTGGTCTTCATGCGATATATTGAGCTACTACAACTTCCATGTTTCTCTGAATAAAAATTGTCCCTCAACATATCTCCAAGTCAGGGAAAGTTGGCACTTCAAATGAACCCTGATTAGTTTAACGTCTTCTTAACCAAAAATTGCAAAGAGGTCTGCAAAGAAGGGGATTCATATCTGAGAGAGAGTATTACTTTGCATTGGCTCGGGGCTAAAATCATTGCCCTTTTTTGTATTTTAGCAGATCTTAGCTGTCGAATTAAATAAGATAGAAAAAGTAACTTCACATATTGGCAATACATAGGGCATTGGAGTCAAAGCAATGGGGTGGTCATTTATAAAATCACTGGTAGTCAAAGGCCACAATTAATGCTTGTTTTTTTTTTTAATGAGAAGGATGCTTTGAGAATAATTATGTATGGGGATCTAACAGCAGATAATGGTTTTAGAGGATATTTAGTACAGCACATAAGAATGAAAGAAGTATAATTAATCCTCCCCCACCGCTTCTCAAATAAGAGATCTCATTTATCTCAGGCAATTGTTTAATAATTTAATCAGAGGCTACTGGAGGTTTCCCTTGCAGAAGCAGTGAGCAGAAAGAAGAGGCTTCTGATCCAGACACAGCCTGACAGCATCAGCTCAAACCCTCCCCTCCAACCAGCATAGAACATGAGATCACTGTTAAAACTATATGGAGATCAGGCCTATTTAAGGCAGATTACTAGCTAAGCCACATGATTGGAAAAGCTAAAGTACTAAATCTAGTACTAAATCACTGGAAGGTGATCAAGATAGAAGATAAATCTCTCCCTCCCCCAAACACCCCCAAATCTTTTTCTGCTAGTGTGATTGAAGCTTGAATTCTTGAAAAACAAACAGTTGAACCCCGTGGATGTTAAATTATGAGTATAATATTGACATGAAATCCATATCCACGGCTCCATTCACTTCATTTAAATAGTGAAAAAGAGTTACTATATACCTACTATTTGCCCTGTATGGATGGTGCTCACTAACTTGGGACAATGTTTGCTATGTTTTGCTGGAGTGCCTGTAGCTAGGAGAAGTTAGCACCCAGCTTGGCTTTAGCTATTCAGCATTAACCCCATATGGGAAAAGACTTGTCCTCCCCACCATTTCCAACTGTTAGTGATTGAAGCTACTAAGTAAGGAAACCTAGAGGGGAAGAATGGTTTTAAGACTTAAAAAGTATGCCAATTCCACCACCTATTTTGTGAACTCCTGAAATTTAAATGAAAGTAAAAGAGAAACAGAAATACATGGCAATTCATATGGAAATAAATCTGTCTATATGTTGGTATAATATAGCTGAAGAAAGAATATGTCCGAGTGTACACTGTAATCATCTGAAAAGTTTTCAGAAGGCAGTTTCTTGACTGAAAAGAGAAAGGATAGCATGTCAGGGAGGCACAGATGGTTTCTGGGATGGGCTTCACTCACCTACAGCTGATTAATCACAGAAGATGCTGTTGCCAGAATCTTTTCCTGGGCCATGTTCTTGGGTTTCCTAGGATCCTTGTGCCATATTCCTCTTCCATTGTGGTTGCTTAATGGTCAGTTTTTAGGGTATGGTCCAAAGAGAAAATTGAAACCTGCCTTCTTCACTCTCTGACTGCATATGCCTATCAAGTAACAGGTGCTAGTTCCACCTCCTTCCTCCGTCTAACACCAGATGCTTCATCTGATAGGCTTACAACAGTCACTGACCTTTGCCCAGGCAGGTACATTCTCTAGCAGGGTGGGGTTGGAGAGACAACCTGTTGTCCTTGGAAACATTCCAGCCTGATGACGGTGTGTGCACACGTGGGAAGTGGAAATAAGGCTGGTGAAGCCAAAAAAGAAGGATGTACATTACAGGTAGAAGTAAACAATACAGGGTGATAGAGATTGATGGCTTCTTGCAAGCTAATTGACTTTTTTTCTTCTTCAAGGAACTGCACAGGGGCAATAAGGAAATAGTACAGATTAGCATCATCTTTTGTCTCTGTTGAGAAATTGGGACTTTTGGCAGACTTCTTTAGAGTAGGATTGGCTCTTGAGTCCTAATAGGAACTATTAAATCTGTTTGGGGAGTGAACATATTAATTGAACAGATCGCTGATGACCCCTAAAAAGACTAGAACAGCAGGCAATGGTCATTAGAAAGTCTATAGACTGTTGGAGAAACATTGGCTAATTGGGCTGGATTTGGGGGTCTGTTAAAATGCTATCTGTCCAGTTGGCAGAAAGCTATACCAGCATAATATTTTTTGTCCCCACTGCCGGTATCTATTCTGCACTGCTTGCCTGTTTTGGCTGGAAGCCAAATACTGGTGTCCTTATTTCATGCCTGCAGGTTGATTAAACAAAGTAATTTGTAAACCTTATTTATGACTTTGCTGCCTTCTGACTTTTCACCAATCAGCAGCAGCCAATCATGGCAGTGATGAGAAGATGGGTCTGGGACTGGTGGGAAGCTAACAAGTGGCTTGACCTGCCTCTCCTGGTTTGATATATGTGCTATAGGAGGAAAGTGCCTAGTGCATCTGTTCAATGGGCTTCTGGAGATGCTGAATTTTGACAAATAGCTAGACTCATGGACTCTGCAGGAGGGTTCGGGTCTGTTTTTCAAAACTTGTTCTTTTGTAAATCTGAACATGGCAGTGGCCTCAAAGCTATCTCCAGTTCTCCATGGACATAGGGAGAAGTGGGGAAACCCAGAAGGTGGCGTTAGAGTGGGCCCAGTAACTGACAGGCATGTTCCCAGATCAGCCTGAGCTGGCTACTAGTCCTAAATTGATCCTATCTCCCTATTGTTCCCTGACTCCGTTGCCAGCAGAATGGTTGATGAAGCACATTATATTTTAAGAACTTTGGAACAACCGCGGGTTGCTATTACTTTAAGGGGAAACTATTACTTTAGCAATGGGATAGCTTACACCTGCCTCACATATGGGCAGAGGACAATAGGAAAGCAATATAATAGGGATATAGTAGAAAAAAATGTTGCCCCATATCAGGCAAATTTGTCCCATGGTTAGGTACAAATTGGGAAATGCCTTCTGAAGAGCATTCAACAAAGTTGGTAGATGCTCAGATCTGTTCTGTTCTGATGCACAGGCAAGTGACAGGGAAAGTGTTGAAACTGAAGTTGAACTTGTCTGGAAGCCCACCATCAGGGGAAATTGCACTACCGGTAGTTTCTTTCATAATATTTGTAAACTATGGCAAACTCTTGGATGTTTTCTGTTTCGGTATCTTGATTTCTTGTGATTTGCAGCAACATATTTCCCTCCAAATGGCAGTAGGGTTTTTTGATACAAACACATCGACATTTTGGCACCTTGTTAAAATCCTCCTGTAATCTAACTCTCATCTAGCTGATATAATTATTAGTTTGATGAATATACTATAACTGACGTTTCCAAGCCCAATTTAATCAATAGTGACTTCCTGGACTAAAGTTTCCTTGGCAATAATACTGAAGTTGGCCACCATATTTTCTTGTTGATTAATAACATACCCCCTCAGTAATTTTGTGGTATTGTTTTCAACACAAAGATTATGCTTTAAATCTTTTTTAGCCACCTCTCTCTTGAATGTTCTTGTTTAAATTACAATATCTTTTAGCAGGATATATTGATATTTAGCTTACATTGATTCCTGTTTAAAATGTAACTGTTACTAGGACAATACTGACAATATGAATTGTACATTGTGTGCTCAATAATGGGAATTACGTTCCATATACCATGGATACAAAACAACATAACACCTGTTCATGTAGAGAAAATATCTTTTTGTGACATTGACATGCCTTGCGCACAAAGATTTGTTATTCTACCTTGAAATTCCAAGCAGAATTGTACATTTTGCAACAAATTTTATGAAGCCCACATTACAATTAAGCAGCAAGTTCATAAATATCTTCTTATTTGAGAACTGTCTTTTCTCTAATGCTAGAGAGCAATTATATGGCAAAGTGCTTCTTCAACATGAGTTGCTTGGCCCTTTTTTTCTTTTTCTTTTTGAAAAAAGTTTTATTTTAGATTAAAATAAATAAATAAAAAAAAAAACCACAAGAACAACAACATAAAAATATCATCCTTACAAACAATTATAGACAGCATTTCAATCGGTTGAAATCATTTCATGCTTACAATTCTCCAGATCTCCTCATATAACAATTATTCTTTACTTAAACTGAAGATAAATATTTAAACATTTCATATATGCTATCTCATCTCCATACTTTTTTGTCAAACCATTGATAAAATATCTCCCATATCAAATAATATTGTTTATCTTCCTGTTCTCTTATTTCAAATGCCAATCTACTCATTTCAGCACAGTTCAACATTTTCATAATTTCTTCATCAGTAATTATCTTCTCTCCTTTCCAGTTTTTGGCAAATACAATTCTGGCCACTGTTAAAATGTTCACAATTAAGTATTGTAATTCTTTATTAAATTCTTTGGTAAAATTCCTAATAAAAATATTTCTGGTTTAAAGTCAATATGTCTCTTTGTCATTTTTTTTAACCACATATGTATTTTAGTCCAAAATCCCCTTGCTTCCACGCATGACCACCACATATGATAGTACGATCCTGGAGTTTGATGACACTTCCAACATTTCTCCGTTTTATTCTTAAACATCCTGGCTATTCTCGTTGGTGGCAAATGCCACCTGTAAAACATCTTATACAAATTCTCTTTATATGCTGTTGACATTGTCATTTTATAATTATGTGAGCACAATTTTTGCCATTTCTCTAAATCAATACTATAACCAAAATTTTTCCCCCATGCTATCATTGATTCTTTAACTTGTTCTTCTTCCAGTTTTGCTTCAAGTAAATATCCATATAACTTTTTAATTACATGGTCATCTGAACCATTAATATCTTGTCTAAACCAGTCGAAACACTATAAATACCTTCTTGTTTAAAGTCTTCTCGATATCTGGAAAGTATTTGCATGCATGAAAACCAATCTATCTTAATTCCCCGATCTTCTAAGTTTTGTTTCAATTTAAGTTCACCCTTTTCATCCAATAATTCATTATATCTAACAATTTGCTTCCCTTCAAATACCACTGGATAAGAAAAAGCTTCAATTGTAGATACCCAGACTGGAATCTTCAAATAATGGTATTTTTTGATCTTCTCCCATGTCAAAAACAAAGCTTCATGTATCTGGTGCCTTCTAAAATACCCCTGAATTTTAGTTCCTTTATACCATAAGAAAGCATGTCATCCCATCAGCAAATCATGTCCCTCCAAATTTAATAATCTAGTGTTTTTCAATGTTACCCATTCTTTAATCCACATTAAACAAACTGCTTGATAGTATAATTCAAAATCTGGTAATCCAAAACCACTCCTCATCTTAGCATCTTGTAACAGTTTGAGTTTTATCCTTGTCTTCTTTCCCTGCCAAACATATTTTAAAACTATTTTATTTAAGCCTGCAAAAAATTCCTTACCCAGCTTTACAGGAATTGTCTGAGAAAGATACAAGATTCTAGGTAAAATATTCATCTTAATAGTTGCAATTCTACCAATCAAAGATAACTGCAAGTTTCCCCATTTCAAATCCTGTCCTATGTGTTGCTTGAGCTTATTATAATTATTTTCTTTAAGAGAACTACATCTTGCTGTTAATTGAATCCCCAAGTATTTTACCTTATTTGTGACCTGCATCTTAGAGATCTCCCTCAGTTCTTTTTGTTTTTTTAAACATATTTTTAGTCATTATCTTCGTCTTCTCTTTATTAATTTTCAAACCAGCAACCTCCCCAAATTCACCTATTTTTTCTATCAATTTATTTATTGATATTAATGGTTCTTCAACAATAAAAACCAGGTCATCAGTTTGTAATTTATATTCTTCCTTTCTAATTTTCATTCCTTTTATCTCTTTTTCTTCTCTAACCTTTCTATTCAACACTTCCAACGTCAATATAAATGGGGATAAGGGACATCTTTGTCGAGTACCTTTTTCTATTTCAATAGCATCAGTCAATTCTCCATTAATCATTACCTTTGCCCTCTTTGTATATATAGCTTCAATTGCCTGAATAAATTTCCTTCCAAAGCCCATCTCTTCCATTTGTAACATCATAAATCACCAGTTCACATTATCAAATGCTTTTTGTGTGTCTAAGAATACCAAAGCCATTTGTTTTTCAGGGTGCGCTTCATAATATTCTAGAGTATTCAAAATTATTCTTATATTGTCTCTGATTTGTCTTTTTGGAAGAAATCCATTTTGATCTGGATGAATAAAGCTATTCAAGTATCTCTTGAGTCTTTCTGCCAGTATTGAAGCAAAGATTTTATAATCCGAATTTAGCAGGGATATAGGCCTATAGTTTTTAACTTGCTGTGGGTCTGTGTCTTCTTTATGAATCAGTGTGATATAAGCCTCAGTCCATGATTGGGGTGCTTGGCCCTTTTTTTCTGTCAGGAACAATTAGCTGTTCTTGTTAGCTATTTTTAAAGAGGATCTTAGATTTCCTCTTTAAAAATTGTATACGCACATGTAAAGACATGTACCGAGAAAATGTCTCACCTAAGGGCAGCACCACAATTTAATGAAGCCAAAACTAAGCTATTTTAATATAAGCTATCAGAGGAGAATAATTAGCTAGTAATTATCAATGATATAGAGTTCAATTACATCCGCTTTCATTGCAGGAAATGATGATAGATGTACAGAAGAATGCTGAATATGAATGATGTAATTTGTAAGATATTATAAAGAGCTGTGACCAGGACCTTTCTGTATAAAGTCCTTTAGCTGGACTGGAACTCAGTCTTCTAGTTTTTAGACCAGCATCTTAACCAAACTGGCTTTACAGTGGGAGCATTTCACTGATATCCAGAGACCATAATACTCCAAGCATTTTATCAAATGTGCAGAATCAAAAATCAGTATGTAAGCTATGACAGAAAGTCAAGCAATAAAACCTAACACTTACAGGAAGATGAAGGAAATAGCATGAACCTTTAATTATTATTCAAAGTTGTCTCATCAATGTTATTATTCAAGTATTCCTTAGTATCTGGGTCAATGGGAAATTTATTATGTACATAGAAGAAGCTAAAGGAAGTATAACCTTAAAATAGGGACTGTGTTAGAGAACAAAAATGACAAGAAAGAAGGAGGGAAGGGGAAAGAGTTCTATGAGAGTGAAATAAAATTGTTCTGGACAAATAACAAACAGTAACATTGAAAGTTTACATCCCTTAGCCTGTTTCCAATAATGCCACACACAAGGTTTCTTTATCTCCAATGGATTCTGCTTTAAGTTGAAGCCAGGTGACCAATTTCCTTCCTAAAGCTCTGTGTATGCTCTCACTTGATTTTCCAGTCCTGAGACTGGAAACATACCAACAGGAGGCAGGCAAATCCAGACTAGCTTGTTTACTGTTTCTTTAACATTCTGTCTCAAACAAAAAACTAGACATGCTAAAAAAAAAAAAAAAAAAGAACAGGAAAAAGCCATCCTCCAATCACACTTGGACAAGATTACAAGTGCAGAGAGTTACATTTAGGGAATGTTTAGAAATGCAGAGAGCTGCAGCACGGAGTTCTTTCTAGCCAGGTCAATGTGATTGTATGTCCCTAGTTTTGTCCATTTCCAGACTGGGGAGTTTTCCACTTGACAAAGGCCGGAGGGCAAGGGCTTTCTCTTGCCCCTGTGTTTGCTCTCTAAGGCCCTTGATTTCCAGTCGCTGCATTTGAATTATTCTCTCAGTTTCCTCTTCAAGATTCAAACGCAGAATGCCTGGACTTAGCTGCCGATCTGGGGAGGGACCTAGATGAAAAAAGAAGTCAAAAGTCAATAAAAGTCATAAACAACTTTTTTTTTTTGGTCAGAAGTCAAGAAAGGTGGTAACAGTATTTAGAAACTCAAGAGAAAACAGTGAAAAATACAGATGCTGCCATATATGAAATGATACAAGAAGAGGTGTGCTTACATTATCTAATAAATTGTATTGATTGGTTATTAACTAATTTTTCATTTTTGGCATCTGGAATACTTGTACTTGTTGCATTCCAGAATATACCTTTATATATTCTGTAGCAGGGATGTCAAACTCAAGGCCTGGGGCCCAGATCTGGCCTACAGAGTGCTTAGGTTTGGCCTGTGGGGCAGCCCTAGAAACAGCAAAGGACCGGCTCGCGGTGCCTCTGCCAGTGAAAACAGAGCTCGGGAGCTCGGGAGGGCTGCGTGGGGCACCTTCGAGCTCCGTTTTCACTGGCAGAGGGCGGCAGGAGGCCATCGTGGCTGAAAACGGAGCTCTGGCAGAGGGCGGCAGGAGGCCATCGTGGCTGAAAACGGAGCTCAGGAGCCCATTTTCGCTGACAGAATGCTTAGGCCACCACAGACACCCCCAACATGAGTTACATCAAACTGGCCACACCCACCCCAGCCCCCAAAGTCAGACACAAGCCTGATGCGGCCCTCAATGAAATAGTTTGACACCCCGTTCTATAGCATTAAGGTTCCAACATAACTGGCTCTGGGAGTGCTTCCAACTAGTAAAAATGTTAAATGATATCACATTATAATGTCTAATCCCTAGTGCCGCGTAACGGGGTGAACTCCTGTTACTTGTCCCAGCTTCTGCCAACCTAGCAGTTCGAAAGCACATAAAAAATGTAAGTAGAAAAATTGGGACCATCTTTGGTGGGAAGGTAACAGCATTCCATGCGTCTTTGGTGTTTAATCATGCCAGCCACATGACCACGGCTTTGAAATGGAGATGAGCACCGCTCTCTAGAGTTGGGAATGACTAGCACATATGTGCGAGGGGAACCTTTACCTTTACCTTATAATGCCTAAACACACTAGAAATGCATAGTTGCTGAAAGACCTTAGAGCTGTAGACTGCTGGGTGACCCATGATTAATAAATCCTTTTGGATAACTTAAAATGAAAGAAGAGTCTAGTCTACTAAACGTCATGTTTTTACAGGACATGACAAATTGTCCTTCATGGATAAGAGCTGATTTCAGATACTTTTCTGTTGAAGTTGTAACTATAAAGGAAATTATTTTTCAACCAGAAATATCAAACTGTTTAAACAATTTTCAAGGGCACATCTTACTTAACGATGCAATTTAAGTAGTCATGGTAAAAATGATACCCTGGAGAACAAAAAGGTTGAAGTTGAGCGCCCTCACTTTCTGCCACAAGGGGCATTCTCTTCTTGATTTATGCAAGATGTCACATCACATATCCTGAGGGGAGAAAACTAATGAAGGAGATATGAGGATAAGAAAATTAGCCTACTGGCAGTAGCTTTTGTCCTTCATCTACATTGCCCTGACTACTTAACATAGCATCTGTTTTGAGGGCCCTGAAGGAATTCACTGGTATAATTTGAAGAACTGGATTCCTTCACTTGGGAAGTCAGAGATACATGTGACTGTTTTGAAATAGCAATGAGAGAATTACAAAAAAAGTGAGATTAGGAAAGTAACTAAGGTCATTTGAAACCCTAAGGTCTTTTCCAATAGAACATAATGTTGCTGTTCTCTTAGACATGAGTCAGTGTATGTAGTAAACTGTTTGATTCTTGCCAAGACAGACAGATGGGCCCTGAAGTGGTATCTAAGGTATGGCATTCATACACAAACCTTTTTTACCCTATTGGAAACTGTAGTTCCATAAATGAAAGCAACATAGAAATTGTATTGCAATGTGCAGAGAGAAAATGACTTGATTTTTAAAACTCCAAATATAGGCATGCCTTAACTGTTTGAAAAGATACCTACTGTATGTAGAATTTCCTACTAATAGTAGTAGTTGTTATTATTGTTGCTGTTATTTTTATTTGAGAACTTTTAGTAACTTCTGTTACTCCAATTTCAAGGAAAAAAAAGAAAGAGATAATTTTCCTTCAATAAATGGACATGACTCAGAAGTACTGCTAAGAGTCATCTTATCTTGATTCTTGTCAGAGCCTTCTTTGAAGCTGCAGTAAGTATTTAATAGCATAACCAAACTTTCATGGGAGAATTGAAAGAACGGGATCTGCTAAAAGGAAAAATACTTTTAATGGAGAGTCCAGGAGCTCTCATCCCTCCACTGGAGACAGAGAAATTCTTAGCAAGCTATTAAACTCAGGGGATCCAGGGAAAACATTAATGTGTACTAAGATTCTAGACAGGTTCTATACTGGAAGAAAAAGGAAACAGCTTTCTTTAACCCACAGCTATTTGAGTTGAAAGGCTCCATCAATTGCTTATTATCGCCATCTGGTGGCCAATAAGTTAGTACAAACTAAAAAGCCACTGAAACAGATGAGTACCCTCTGTCACCCATGAAAATGCAAATCTCTTTTTACCATACACCCACTGTAATTTTAATTCTGTTGCTTCTTTCGCCTGTCCTTCCTATGACTAAATGGAGTTTTGCCTTGTATTGCTTGGCTTTGCAGCTCAGCCACCATTGAAACAATGGGCATGACTGTTTGTTCACTCTCATATATGTGATTTAATGGGAAAAAAATCCTTACAAAAAGAGTTGAATTATAAGAATATTGGCACACACAAATAGGAAATAGTTGAATCTTTGATTCTTAGTCATTTTGTGTTTATCACATTTACATTTTGTTTCTCCAAGAAACCAGGTAAGTCATACGCTGCATTTTCCTTATTTAAACCTTAGACCAAACCTTAGTTGGGCTGAACGATAATGGTTGGCTTAAATTTCATAAGCAGAGACTTTATTCCATCTCCTTGCTTGCTAGTCAGACCATCTACAGGGAAGTCCATAGCAATAGAAACTGGCTTCAAAATGGTAGGTCTGAGTAATCAAAGCCCTGTTCCTCTTTAAAACATGTTACCCACAATATACCCAGATGAAGCAGGACAGTTCCACAGACAACTTTGAAACCACTCCTTTTGGTGGTTAGAATGCTCATATATATTTAATCAATGAATTAATGTGTATATGTTTAACCTGAGTCCTATCTACATAAAATTGTTACAAAGAATAATGCCAGGAGATTTACATTAGAGATTTAAACTAATTTTTCTTTCAGCAATTCAAAAATATCCAATTAATAGCATTAATGAATAACCATCCAGGACAAATATGCATTTTTTTTATTAGATTAGATTTTTTTTTTTTTTAATTTGATTTATATGCCACCCTTCTCTGGAGGCTCAGGGCGGCTTACAATGCGTTAAGCAATAGCCTTCATACTTTTGTATATTTAAACAAAGTCAGCTTATTGCCCCCACAAACTGGGTCCTCATTTCACCTACCTTTGAAAGGATGGAAGGCTGAGTCAACCTTAAGTCTGGTGAGATTCGAATTTACAGTAATTGCAAATTTTGCAGCAGATATACCTAATCTTTCTCCTCCGATGTTCTCCACAACAACAACCTGGTGGGGTGGGGTGGGCTTAGAGTGAAGAGAGTGGCCCAAAGTCACTCAACTGACTTTCATGCCTAAGGTGGGACTAGAACTCAATTTTCAAGTTTTTAGACCAGGACCTTAACCACTATACCAAACTGGTTCTCATTACCTATTTCATGCTTCAGAGCCTCTAATGAAAAGCAGCAAGAAAAAGATAGAATATTACTTGCTGTGAAAAAGTAGAAGGAAGTGATAGTTAAAAAAACAGGAATCACCTGAGGGTTGTGCTCCCGATTTCTTGTGCTTCTTAAGCAGGCTCAGAGTTGACGTGAGGTCATGGACTTGTATACGAGTGACCTTCAGTTCTCTCCGCAAATCATTGATTTCCTTAATAAGACTTACATTTTCCTATAGATTCAAGAACAACACAGTTTAAACTAGTACAGTTTTTGACTAGTACAGTGAACATGATCTTCGCTTACTTACTTACTGGACTTATAGGGCCATCTAACTCATATAATGGTTCTAGGGTGCCTTACAATAATCCATAAAAACATAGCTAAAGTATATGCAAAATATCAAGCCTTAAACTTGATATACAATGGAGTATAGATCCATTTCACATCTGCCAGCCTGCAGAAAATATCATTTTCTGCAACCAAATTTCAATGTATTCTTCTCCCTCCCTTCCAGTTACTTTTCATATTAATATATTTGGATATCATCATAAGACTCAAATATATCTTCTGGGTTTGGAAATAATTAATCTCTGTTTTGAGTTTGTATACAGAACACATTGAAATTTCCCTCAGTTGAAAAAAAACCTGCACTTTTTAAATCTGAGTTCGTACCTGCATAATGCGCACATAATCTGCACGATGGATCTCACTTTCTTTTACCACTTTCTTTTTCAGTGTTGCTAGGTTGTGTTCAAGATGCTCTCGCTGCCGTGTATACTCTTGATGCAAGTCTGAATCAACCCCAACAATTTCCACCTGAAGAAACAAGAGCTCAAACAAGCTTGTGTTTAACTGCAAATGGGGGGGGCGGGGGGGGGCGGGGTATGACTCTCAATTATTAGGGATGTAAAAGAGACCTGCTGTACATAACTGAACAGCAGGTCTGTTAGACTCCACACACAGTGCAATTTTGGCTTCCATTGGGGAAATGTATATGATAATAAAATAATTTATATCAAAGATGCAAGCATTAAAAAAAAAATCAGTCAAGAAACTTATGTAAATAACCTAATACATCAGGAGAAATTGCATACAGCTTCTCTGTCAGTGTATTGAGGAGGAAATACCAAATACAGTAAAAATATGTCTGTATGCATGTTTTTTTTAAAAAAAACAGATTTTAAAAATATACTAATTTATTAAGAGGAGTAAATTGGACCAGATTTTTATTGATGTACATCCTTACTCACCCTATCTGCCTTCTGTACATACTTCTCATAGATATCTCTAATGGACTCCTTTAGTTTCTTAGGCTCCTGGATGAGGCCTACACAGTTGTGAATATCTGTTTTAAATCTCTTGACAAGTGCTTCCATATCTCGTTCCTGCAACCAAAAACCAAAAATTTAAGGCAATATGCAGAATGCTGCTCCCTTTGATACATTTCCTTGTTGTGACCCAAATAAAGGCATACATGTTTTTTGTAAAATTCGTATCAACCAAATGGCACCCAGTCAAAAGGAACATGGTAGATAACTAAATAAATATTTCAGCATATCACTTTGAATTGATTAATCCTTGGACCAATTCAAATAACCTTCCATCCTTTAAAAATTCATCCCAGATAGCTTAATAATGATGAATAAATATGCAAACAATGTTTGTGAAAAGTATAATATGGACAAAATATGAAAATGTGGGAACTGGTTGTTTTTAAATTGTGATAATTGTTCCTCATGCAAAGGTACATATATAAGTCACCTATTCAATTGTTCATATTAGAGAACCAAAATTGATTTAACATTACTTCGTACTCATTAGAAAAAAAATGCAACTATAACAGAACTGTAAAGAAAGAAGGAAATTTCAAAATTCATTCACTCTTTGTATGGTGTTCAAACAAAGAATAATAATGGCCTGTACTGATAACTTGTACAGTCTTTAAAAAAAATCTGAAGGCTATTTTGTTACCTAAAGTGCATTTTTGCTTCATCACACAATAGAATAAAATAAATAATGTACTTAATGAAAATGATAAATTTAGGACAAAGAAACACCCAAATGGTAAGAAATTCTGCAATCTTATACTGCCAAGATTTAATAGTGATACGTCCGTAATACTGTAGGCACATGTAGATAATATCTCAGATTAACCTCTCCTGGGAAAATAAGATGCAAACATTTCATACTAACTGTAGTTTTCAGGAAGCAATTCTTGAATCTCCATCATTTCCAGTCCTTGGTGTGATTCAATGAACACTCTCTTTACTCTTAATATACTCACTTTCTGCATCTCTTTGTGCATCTCACGATCTGTAGCTCTCAGCTTTAGGCGCAGTTCAGCTATGTTAAGTTCCAATTGTGTGTTTTGTTTATGGAAATGTTCCAGCTCTCCCTCCATCTGAAGAGATAAAATGAGAAGCAATAAAAGATTACACAAAGTCTGATACCTGATATGGAGTGCTTTCAGACAGAGATCTCTTAATACTACTAATCTAAAGCTATTGAGCAATAGCATCATATATCTATATTAATATACAATGTGCGTATATACACACACACGTACACAGAGCCCATAAACAATTTATAAATTACATTAAATGATTGAATGGGTTGCCATTTTCTTCTCCATTTGTTTTTACACATATTGAATCTCTGGGTCAATAAGAACAAGTAGTACTGGAGGTAGTAAAATGATGCTTTTGATCTTCCTTTTGGCTTTTTCCTTCCTTCTTCATAACATATTTTATAGAAAGATAGAAATGGGAGAAAACAAAAAACGAACCATCCTGGAAAAGTAAAAACAAAAAAAGCATGGCAATGCTTGTCTAAAAGAGCAGCAAGTGGGTTGCATTGTTTATTTCTCACCTCCTGGATCTGTTCCTTCATGGCTTTGATATCATTCTCACGTGGCTCTATTTGTTTCTTCAGCTCCTTAATTTTGTAATCTAATACAAATTTGAATTTCTCCAGTTCCTGATTTTTCTTTTTTAGATCATAAATTCGTTTTTCCTAAATCAGGCAAAGCAGGAAAAAAGGTAGTTAAGAAGCAGTAAGGACATTTTAGATTTCCATCAGATAAAGGCAATCCATTGTGATTTGAACAAGGACATTGTAGGAAAAAGGTGCTACCAAATCAGGAATATTAGAGAAACTATAAAGAACTCAGAGCAACGCCCCTTAGAATGGGATGAGTTGATCCTGAACAAAACTTTTCTTCAATTTGAGAACTAATTCTGTATGAGGACTACTGAGGATTTTATGTGAGGATCAACATCGTAAAAAGATCTTGGGATGTGAAAGCAGTTCAGATAAAACTACCCAGTCAACTTACTTTATCTTGGATGGTCTCATCTCTTTCTTGAATCTCTCTCTTCAGCCCCATAATGTCCTTCTCTAAAGCCTTAATAATCCCTTGCAGCTTTTGCTGCTCCAACTTCATTGCCTCAATATCGCTGCATCGCTCCTCAATCTCTTTTTGGAGACTATTAAACTGTTGAAAAAATGTGTTATCTTTCAAGCTGAAAACAATGAGTCAGTGTTTCCTGCAGTATTGTAACAGCAACAAAAGAATCATTTGCAACAATCAATTAAAATTATGGCAAACTGCACATTTTCATATCCTTTTAGAAAGCTATTGCACTAAAAATCATACTGTCTGCAAAAACATTCTGAATGTACTTTCGGTGACCACATAAAAGATCTGAAATTTAAACAATCTTATAGAAATAACTTCTTTAAAATGTAAATTGTAATATTTTTTGAAAAGCTTATGAAGAAAAAACAAGACAAATAAGAAATTCAGGTTCTTCCTCCTGATAGTAAATCCAGATTTAACATAGATCTTTGTGGTATGCTAACTTGGCATTCCCATTTGAGTCTTAAATTCAGGGAAGGGTTTGGGATATACTGATTTATCTGTAAATATTTTTCTAGAGATGGATAGAATGTAAAGGTCTATATTCTGCTGTAGATTTTTCCTGATGGCAATCTCCTAAGAGATTTAACTTCTGGAGAACAGGAGGATTCCAGTTTATCTTAATGGTTTGTAAAAATCTAATATATAATAGAAGACTTGGGGAGAAAAGCAATCTGTAATATGTCATCAAAATACTAACAATACCCATTTTACTTTTCATTTTACTTCCTCAGGGAATACATCAACCTGGCTGAATGAGAGCTACAAAATTTAGATTTAAGATAAGACATTTATTTGTTTGTTTGTTTGTTTGTTTGTTTGTTTATTTATTTATTGGTTTAATTTATATGCCGCCCTTCTCTGGAGACTCAGGGCGGCTTATAATGTGTTAAGCAATAGCCTTCATACTTTTGTATATACCTGCTTAGTAGGGCTTTCGGCCCCCCCTAAGCGGTGTTCTTTTTTATACAAAGTCAGCTTATTGCCCCCACAATCCGGGTCCTCATTTTACCTATCTCGGAAGGATGGAAGGCTGAGTCAACCTTGAGCCTGGTGAGATTTGAACTCGCAGTAATTGCAGGCAGCTGGCAGCTAAGTGCTACTTAACAGCACTTTAGTCTGCTGCACCACCAAGGCTCTGTAAGACATGGGTAGTAATCAGCCTAATAACTATTACTGTGATTTTTGCTGACTCTTCTTTCAGTAAGTTTTTATTATAAATATTTTAACAAGTGCTTGGATCTTAAAAGTTATGGTGGTGTTGTAAATATGTTTTTTTATTTAGTCTTAAATAATTTATTCATGTGGTATGCTAATATCTTGATTGCCAAGTTAGCAGAGAAAACCATGTGCTTGCTATTGATTTTAAATACACACAAATACAATGCTCAAAAAAGCATAAAAAACAGAAAACACTGGGCAGACCTTCTTTCTCATGATTCCTGTTTCCCCCTTTAATCGTAGATTGGATTCCCTTTCTTCTCGAAGCCGTCTCTCATATTTAATTTTTATATCCTGAATTTCTCTATCTTCATCTTCTTCAATCTGCTTCTTAGTTTCCTCAAATTCCCTAAGTTGCTGTCTAGAATCATCTTGAGCCTGTTAGGCGAATAAAAAGAATAAAAGTAAAAGTAAGTGATGGGAAGAAAGAACCTAGGCAAAACTGCTTGAGGAAACAAATGAAGTCTTAAGAGTGGCCTGGAAAAGGCAAAATCCTGAAAAATATAGGCTATAACAGGGGTGTCAAACTGGCAGCCCACAGGCTGGATGCATCACGTGCAGGCCACGCCCACCCCAGCTCCATGAAGGGGAAAAACGTCACAATACATCACATGACATTGCAAGTTTGACACCCGTGGGCTACAGTATTCTGGGGATGCCAAAGCAGCAGCATGGTGTTATGGGACTGAAGGCCTTATTTGCTAGTGCCTTCTGATATAGAGCTCAATTACTATCACTAACCTTGGCAGTCATTAGACATGGAAATCTTGAATGACGTGGGAGTTCAGTATTAATTTTAGTAAGACTAAAACTGAACACTCCTTTAATGTGTTTCAGCCAATGCTTGTTAAGACATCTTTTCCTAGATATATGATTGGAAACACAACTGAAAATATTTAAATTAGCATTTTAAGTTGTGGAATTTGCTGGTTAGCATCCCTTCTCAGGAGCTGGAATGCTTACAAGCCGCTGGTTTTAAAAAAGGAATATTTATAAAGGCAAAGCAGTATAAATCAGAACTTAATTGGAGGATATCTATTTGGAAGAATTGTTATAAATATATATTTATAAGAGTTTTATACCACTTCAATCAACCAAAACCATGCAGTTGACAATAAAAGCATACAGTACATAGTACATAAATAAAATAATGAAGTGATTTGGTAATGACTATAAATATTTCTATGTCTTGTATGCTTACTGCCTTTCTCTTATTCTCAAAATAATTCAAGAATGAAGTCATACAAAATTGTGCCAAGATTAGCTAGGAATACAGGACATTGAAAGGTGTGTTGTACTTGCTTCAATTCTGCTTTAAAAAGCAAAAAAATAAAGTTATACCTCTTCCAGTAAAGTTGCTTTCTCAAGCAACTTTGCCTCATAATATTCTGTCAGTTCCTCAAGTGCTTGGCTTTTGTTCTCTTCCATTTCATGAAGTTGTTTCTCATACTCTTCCTGCATTCTTTGAGATTTCATTTGCAGTTCTTGATACTTTTCATATTCCAACAGCAGCTTTTGGTTATTGCCAGATTCTAAACACCAGAGTAATTTTTAAAAATGCGGTTTAAAAATAGCACTATAAAGTGGTAAAGAATGTCCTGCCCTTTTAGAACCTGTCTTTGTAAAGTCCATATTCTTACATTTTGCACTATTTCTAAATCACTATTAGATTTGAACTCTATTTCTGGCAACTTTATGTCTACATAAAACTTTCATATTCAGTTTTTTTGTTTCTTTCAAGATAAGATCATAAATAAAAGTGGAAATCTCTTTTAATCCATTCCTTGTGCAGAAAATGAAGACAAGAGCGATATATTAGAGGATTCTTAGGTAAATGTTTAGGTGCTTCAAGCTAAATGGTTATTACAGAAACTGCATAAATCTTAACAATTAGGGCAGGGAAGAAGGACAAAATAAATATGAGTGATTTTCAGGAATAGATGCTTTGAAAATATTCTTGAAAAATCTCAGCTTGTTATGCATAAGCAGTGATCCCCTTCACTATCAGGAAAACCAAGAAAGTTATAAAAATAAATGAAAAATAAAATCAACTACAATTACTTGTTTTGGCATGATAAAGTTTAAACCCAAAAAATGTGCATGTGTTACCTATACATAAAATTGTTATCTTTTGTTATAAAGACTGAAACTTTCATTCAGTTATATCAGATTCTCCTAACCTAAATCTTGCACCTCTCTTGACTGTTTCTCTATTAATTCTGATAGCTGCTCCTGGTGTTGTATTTCCTGTTTTTCTTTTTCTGTTTGCAGAACCTGAAATATAGATAGATAACATTTTCATCTGAAATTTATTGACAACTTTTAATTTATTTAATTGACTGCATTATTGGAAACAGAGTAATGCAATAATACAGAGAGAGATATGCAATTGATATTTGAGCCACACCTGGTTTTTAGTTTTCAACGATTCCATTTCCTGGATGAATTTCTCAGTTAATTCCTTTATTTTTTCATTATAATTCATATCCTTGAGACGAAGCTGATATTCATTTTCCATCTTTAGTTCCTCTACCCGTGTTTTTAGTTCTAGCATGACCTGAGTCTGCAGGATAAGAAATTGTAAAATTGTTAGTAAAAGAAATCAATGTGTAAATATTTAAATTTATACATGGACATTAAAGTAATGATTGTGCATGTTATCTATCATAAGTATAACTGGTTTCCTTTATTAATAGTGTGTCCTACTGTTACTTGTCCCAGCTCGTGCCAACCTAGGAGTTCGAAAGCACGTAAAAAATGCAAGTAGAAAAATAGGGACCACCTTTGATGGGAAAGTAACAGCGTTCCGTGCGCCTTTGGCATTTAGTCATGCCGGCCACATGACCACGGGAGATGTCTGGCTCTTCAGCTTTGAAACGGAGATGATTACTGCCCCCTAGAGTTGGGAACAACTAGCACATATGTGCGAGGGAAACCTTTACCTTTACTTTTACTAGTATATTGTTATCCTGAATGGTAAAAAAAACTAGCAGTCCAGAAATATGCCACAAACTAGCACAGTAGTCATGAAGGCTTTGGAAAAGACATTCAGGTGCCAGGATGTGTTTAACAAAGGTTAAAATGTAAGCAGTGATTTTTCCTGTAACACTCGATGGAAATCAGACTTTGAAAAGCGGGCTAGAAACAGGATTCACACTTTTGAACTCTGGTGTTGGAGAAGACACTTGAAAATACCATGGAGTCAATCATCAAAGCAATCAACCCAGAATTCTCACTTGAGGCACAGATGATCAAGCTCAGATTATCCTAGTGTGGGCACATGCAAAGAACTAACTTTTGGAGAAATCTGTAATATTGGGAAAGGTGGAAAGAAAGATAAAAAAAAGAATGACAAGTAGCAATGTGGATAGACTCAATTATAGTGGTGTTGGCTGTAATGTTTGTAAATATGATAGACCAGATTTGGGACAGAGCCTCCTGAAGAAAATCTATATGGTTATTAAGAGTTGATACCAACTTGATGGCTCATCATTATCACATTGCTATCCTGTTGCTATGGTATATTGCAACTTGCTGTTAATACCTATATGGATTAACAATACAACCTTTAGAGGTCCCACTGAAATTTGCTATACATGTTTCCAGGTTAATGATCTATCTAGTTACATATATACATACAGTTTTATGGATTCCTGAAAAACTATGAATCAAGATATCATGTTTTTTGCAATTGCACATACGCAGGCAAAAATAAACTTGGGTTTTCTCCAATACTTAAAACATTTCCTAAAAACATGGAGCAGTATGGCTTAGGAGTTAAGCTTTAGGTCATCAATGGCTAAATGTTACACTATAGACTCCATTTTAACTTCTGCTATATCTCTGCTATGGTTCAGAGTGCTGCTTATTGACTAACATTTGTTGATTCTCAGACTTATGATGATCTAAACTTTTCAATTTGAAATACATATAGTAATGATTCTCAAACCAATACCTTGCAGTTATACTGACCTTCTCTTCCATGTCTGTTCTAGTAATCAACACTTCATCAGAATATGGTACCTCTCTCTCCCTTTTCAATCCCCGTCCTTCTTTGTCATATACTTTCCAGATAATTATACATCCATCTTCTGCAGATGTTAACAAAAACTGATCATCAGATGTTATGGATATCTGTAGAAGTTAAAAAAAAAAGAAGCTTCCTTAACTGTGAGACAGCACAATTAAAGAGTGAGTGATGAAAAGGAAAGGCAGACAATAGTGATAGTAAAATATGTCCTTGTTGATTTCACAAAGACTGCTATGAAAAATGATAATGAAGGGTGGTTTTCTACTTATTTCTTTTCTTACCTCTGAATGGCTTTTCCATTACAAGTAAGTACATAAAACGGGAATCATCACTGAATATCTTCTTGCACTCCTAGAATATTGTGCATCTTTTATATAATGAGATTCTGGATGTAAAGAAAGCTTAAGCAACTTAATGTCAGCTAGGTCTGTGTTTAAAATATATACAATATTCACCAGAAATAACTGCTGCTAAAAGTCTGGAAGTCTGTGGTGACATGTGTACATTCTAGTTTAAAAGGTACATTCTACCAGATTCAATAGGGCCTTAATAAGTAAATCTGTATTATTCATGTTTAATGTTGGCTTTCTCAGAAATAAAATAACATCATGTTATTATCATTGTGATCACTGACATCTGGATTCACACAGAGTGTTCTAATCCTATTATCATTTCCAAATCCCCAAGAAAAAGACTGTTAGTCTAGATGCATAATGTGGACATGAATTGCAGTATAAATGCATAGGCACTAGTGTGATAATAAAACATAGGATATTTATTCTCACAGAATAAAACTGGCATTTTCCTATTCTTTGTCAAAGTTTTATTGCACTTTCTAAAAATAAAAGCAACCTTCACTTAGGCTCTTCCTTTATTATCTAAGCAATATTCATTACACTGGCATTTTCTCTCATTGCTCAATATGCACAGCACAAACCTCTTCCCTTTCTTAAAATGCATTTCATATTAATTAGATTTTTTTTCTCACTCTAGTCAGTTTCACCTCATCCAGTATCTACTCTATCACTTCTCATGAACAGTTTCTGAACACGTCCCCTTTCCCCTTCTTGCCTTTTTAATTAGGTACAATAGCACCTAAGCAGAAAAGTGGAATACAAATCAGATCAAATCAATGCATCAGTTTTACAAATAAGACAAACAGGTTCATGATATTTATATTGCATATACAGATGCTTAAACCTATTAAGGCAATCTGATAAAATACTGAAGTTTCTTTCTTGCATTCTCCAGATAAATGAGATCAGTATGGAGAGTAGCAATAGCAATACCACTTAGACTTATATAAGTGGGGGGGGGAGGCGGTCCCGCCGAAGGAGGGCGGTCCGGAGAGAGCTCCCTGGAATTGTGGGTATCTGCCATGACCTGGGAGCTTGAGGCAGGAGGGGTCTGGTGGGCCGGCTGAGGGGCAGGAGCCCAAGATTGATGGGCCGCCTTAGAGAAAGCCTTCTCCATTGCACGATGGCGGCGCTGTTCCTCTTTGGTGGCCACAGGGATAGCAGGAGCCACGGCCTTAGAAGCCCTGGACCGCTTGGCTGGAGGGGGCTGGGTCGAGGGACCTTCCAGCGGGTCATTGGCAGAAGCAGCAGGGTGCCTGGAAGGGGCTGAAGCTGTGGCCTTGGAACTATCCCCCATGACAGCGATCTCTGTCAAACAAAATGGCCACCGCCCAAATCGCGCCAAAATTAACCGCCCAAACTCACGGATGCAGCAATTCAATTAGGCTCCTCACAGGCAGAAGTCAATCCAGTAAATAGGGAGGCAGAAGAATCGCTAGCTCAAGGCTATTATTGCGATGTGAATTGCGGCGAGGCAAGCTCCAGCCGAGGGAAACGCTGCTAGGCAAAATGCCTTTGAAGCGCAGCGGCGGCTCGTTAAGGAGATCGGACAGATAAGGCCGCAGAGGGTAAGCAGGAAAAATTAGGTAAAACAAAATAAAATAAAATAAAAACCAAAGGCGAAGTAAACTAGCAGTTAGTAGGTAATAGTGGAAGACACATCTATCCAGCACAGATCGAGTTGAAACACTGGGCCATGAGGGCGGAGTTATTCATAGTGTTTTATATCAGGGGTGGGTTCTACTTACCTTTACTACTGGTTCGCAGCGGGGTTGCCCATGTGCACGAGCTTTGCTCGCACGCATGCTCTTCTGCGCAAGCGCAGAAGCTTCTACACATGCGCAGAAGTGTTTTGATTACATTGGGGTCGGTGGGCAGCGCCTCCTGCCAGTTTTACTACCGGTTCTATAGAACTGGTGCGAACCGGGGGAAACCCACCACTGCTTTATAGCCCTCTCTAAGTAGTTTACAGAGTCAGCATTTTGCTCCCAATAATCTGGGTCCTCATTTTACCAACCTTGGAAGGATGGAAGGCTGAGTAAACCTTGAGCCTGGTGAGATTCGAACTGCCAAATTGCAGGCATCCGGTAGTCAGCAGAAGTAGCCTGCAGTACTGCATTCTAACCACTGTACCATCACGGCTCTTAGTAGTAATAATTCCAATTGTAGATTGATGATTCATATGCACACTTTCCTCCTCATTACTACAGAAATCTGTGGTGTAATGCCATTAAATGTATTGATATGATACATTGATGTACTATGTATATATATATATATATATATATATATGAGGGAGAGAGACTACAGGTTATCTGGTAATTTAAATTATGCATAGTTGCATTATTAGGTGCTGTAGTACCTCAGCTCCATTTCTGGAGCCCCTAAAGCACCCCAGCTGATTTTCTTCTGATTTTTCTAAGGAGATTTAAGAACTTTTTGAACCTGCTTTAAAAATCCCAATGCAGAAGAAAACACAATACAAAACAAGCTGTTCGAATTCCTTAAAAGGCAAACAAATTTTAAGTATAGGCCCCACCATATGAAAGCTACCTTCTGTTACTTAAAGGGGAGAGGGGAGAAAAATCCCAGGAAAACTCAGGCAGTCAAGGTAATTCAGAGACTTTACCTTGGTGACTGGACCAGCATGAGCTTGATACTCATTGAATTCCTTGTGCACAGGTAATGGGTATTTCATGGACCGGATGGTCCCAGCAGATGTTCCAGTGAATACCATCCGCCCATTATGAGCTATCACAATGCAAGTGTAGGTAACGTCAAAAGAGGGCACTTCTCTCAGTATCTGAAACATACATAGCATTCCTTTTAAGCATTACAACTTTTGGTAATTGTAATTTGTAGGTGTTTCTATGTGTAGTAATTCACAAAGTAAAGATTTATTCAGAACAGGATTCACTTTATACCAACCATATCCACCACAGTGAAAGCCTCATATCTACTTTCCTTCTCACCCCTCCCACCCCGATCTGTGTGAAAAGACTGCCTCCAGCAGTGATCTTTAGGAGGAAGACTCTAGGGTACCAAAAAATGATTTAATAACTGGATTGCCATAGAGAAAATTATGAAAACTAGCACCGCTTGATAGTCTCAATTACAGAAAATTATGTATACGAGGTTATTTCAGAGCATGACCCTAACTTCAAGAAATACAATTTCACTATTCCCCACTAGGTATGCATGTATTGTATGTATGGAATGGCTCACCGAAGAATCACAAATCTCCTTGATAGAATGATCAGAACCAACAGCGAAGATGACTTTTGCATCAGGTGATATTGCTACTCCACTATAGCTGCAAGACTTGAGTACGCACTCTGATTCTCTTTTGCCATTCTGGAGGTTCCATTCATATACTGCTCCATCTGTGCCACAGGATACCAGTTTATAATCATCCATGCTCCACACAACTGATCGTACCTGAAGACAGCATGGGGAAAGGGAAAGATAAAAGGATGAAAATGCACAATATTCAGGCAATTAGTCTTAAGCAGTCTTCTGCTTTACATTATTCCCATTTATTTATGCCACTGTTCGTTCTGTTTTTAGGCTGGAATCATAGTATGGGTTTTTAACCCATGTGCTCACAGCTTATTTATGAGAAAGTCTGATGGGAACACAGCAGGCCAGAATAAAGATGGTCTGCCTTTATGTGAAAAGCCAAGGGCTGCACTACAAAAAGCACTGTAGGAAACCAGACAAAAAACTTGATTAATTGGATTTCCATGTAAATGTATTTACAATTAAGCAACTAATATTGCTTTTCAGTCATGCATTCAATCGTTTCCCCTTTTGTCACACTGAACGTTACAATATGCCATCACATTTTGGAGGGCTCTGAAAGGTTACACTGAAAAATTTTGAAGGCCACATTGTGCCTTGAATAGGGCACTTCTGCTGTAATCTGAATCCAAAGTTAGGGAGCTCTAGGCTTCACAATTATTCTATAAATTATGATTTATGATGGCAAAGTACTGTTTCTCAGTGAAATTTACATGATATATGTTTAACTTGACACATGCATTTCTAATTATATTATTTGGTTTGGTTTGATAATGTTTTTCACAATGTTTATATCTAAATTTATCCTCTATACAGTATTAGTGCTTTCTTCCTTCTACAGGGTTCTTGTCTGAAACAGAAAAGGAACTGAAGGATCAAGCCCAGAAGGAACTTGGAAAGAAACTTACACATTCCAGTGGAGCCCAAATATTTTAAAGAAAATACATTAGCTGCTATTGATCAGCTGGAAGATCTCTTTCCCTCCTCCCTGATTATAAAGAGAAAAGATTTATGGAAGTTCATATTCTTCACTTCCCACATGGAGATAGGTTTCCTCTTTGTGTGTGCAATTAACTTGCATTTTATCTATCTTATAGCTCTAATCACTGACCTTACCATTGTGTCCTTTCAGATTTATGATATTGTCAAAACTTATGGTAGAGTAAATGTGAATCACATTTCCATTAACTGCTGCGAACAGATGACCACCTGTACTGAAGGCGCACTGAAGAAAGAAGCAGGAGACTATGAGAATCAGTAATATATACATAATTTGGAAATTATGCAGAAAACAGTATCTAATAATCTTGTACCCCTTTGATTGACAGATAGAGCTATTCTTTCAGTGTCCCCCAACAAGCAATTTTGTCCAAAAAGCTAAATTGTGTCGAGGAACATCCAAAAATGTATTCAGAGTTTTATAAAACCTGTCAAAGAAATGACACTAACCTTTTGGCACATTAAATATTCAATATACTTTAGCATACCACAAGTGCTTTCAAAACAGAACTTTTGAGTTCAGGACCCTATTCAAATTAGTAGAAGGGTTACCCACACCTGCAAGGCTTGCCTCCCTACTTAATATACATTATTATTAATTAGCTACACCATGACAAACCCTAATCAAATCAAAGCTTACTCGCTTACTAAGGATCTGGCTAGGCTTTTGGGTGCCTTTCAAATAAAAGAAAGTTATCTAAAGCCTTCCGTCTTGTCAGAAGATATTACCTCTCGGCATCCTCGTACAGTGAAGTCCTTAAAAGTCCGGATGTCATCAATAAGTAAATTCATCAGTCGAAGTTTGTCAGCAAAACCAACCAAAACACACAGACCACCAGGGTGAAAAGCAAGTGCATATGCCTCTTCTTGGTACTCTTTATATAAGTCGAGTGTGCTGTAGCAGGAGCAGCCATGGCAATTAATGTACAACACAGTTAATAAAAAACCCTACAGCTGGTGCTATTCTTGGCCATACTTTACGATGAAATACTGGGAAACCAAAGAGAAGGGCCACAGGGTCAAAGACTAAACTATCCAATTCAGTACATGTAAACAAGGTAGCAAAAATAATATAACCATAAAAGAAGGAATTCAGTACATCTGAGGATTTCATGCAGTTGGAAAACCAGTTATTTAGAGAATGATTAAAGCTCTATTCCTGAAACCAGCTCATTTTTTTCCCATTTATATTTGCTTTTACATTTATATTTTAATAAATTGGCACATTTAGAACTGCCACTACTATGTCTGACAAAAGTGATATAATTTAACAGATTCCATCTAATTGTTAAATTACCATACATTGATAGGTTTACGGGAGGCATTGTTGCTTTATATCCCCCATTCTGCTATGGCTTCTGAAAATATATTACAATATAAAGCAGGAGATGTATACTTAATTTCATATTTATTTGAGGAGTTTACTTGGTAAGAGAAGGGTTTTAAGAAGGCTACTTATTTAGATATGTGGCACCTTTTGACTGTAATAATTATAAAAATTATGTAAGGTTTATTTATGCTCATTTTGTAATGAAATGGACGTCTGTAGAGATTCTCAGTCATCCAGGTCATGGTTGTCCCAAAGGTGCTTTTTCAGGAGGCAACCGGACTTTCTTGTTTTTCCTTTGAAGCCATTTCACTTCTTATCCAAGAAATTTCTTCAGCTCTGACAGAATAGTGAGGAATGCAAGGAATCCTTCCATTCCTCACTATCCTGTCAGAGCTGAAGAAGCTTCTTGGATGAGAAGCGAAACGTCTTCAAAGGAAAAACAAGAAAGTCCAACTGCCTCCCAAAAAAGCACCTTTGGGATAGTGAATTGGACATAATCAGTTTTTAGCAGTCTAGCATTCTCTAACTTCCAAAAGAAGAATAACATTCAAAATAAAGAAGGAACAGAGGATAGTGATATGTGTCAGATGATGATTTTGTACAAACAACGCTTTCACCCTGTGTGGTGTAACCTAGGGTATGAGATTTTAACTGATCCCTTTATCTAGTGCTGTGTCAGAAGACTTAAGAACATTTTAATAATAATATGCAATACAACATAGGTATTATAAAACATTAAGTGGGAATGATCAGCTCTTTGAACAAATTCTTTCCATGAGCAAAAAATTAGGAATCAAGCTAACCCAATATTTTACATAATAGTTTTGAATATTTTATAACATTCTATTTGCATTATCTGACATAATGAGAAACAACATGAACATTTCACCATATTTATCTAAAAAATAATTGTATTTGTTTCTAATTTGGACAGCTCAAAATACTACATGGATTTTTGCCCGGATTTAAAACCATTATACATAATTCTTTCCTAAGCTACCATCATAAAATTAAACATAGTGCCAGTGACCCATTTGTACTGCAACCACATTATTGTAATGGGAATTTGTTTTCAGAACTATAGAATCATAGGGCTGAAAGGGACCTTGGAGATCTTCTAGTCCAACCCCCTGCTCAAACAGGAGAGCCTATATAGGTAGTCCTTGATTTACAACAATTCATTTAGTGACTGTTCAAAGTTACAACAGCACTAAAAAAGTGACTTTGACCGTTTTCACATGACCATTAAGCATTCCCATGGTCATGTGATCAAAATTCTGATGCTTGGCAACTGACTCATGACAGTTGCGGTTTCTCAAGAGCATGTGATCACCTTTTGCAACCTTCTTACAAGCAAAGTCTTGCAAGCAAAGCCTGGACTACTGTAATGCTCTCTACATGGGGCTCCCCTTGAGGAGCATCCGGAGGCTCCAACTGGCGGAGAGTGCGGCCACGCGGGTGGTTATGGGAGCGGCATGGCGTTCCCATGTAACACCTCTCCTGCACGAGCTGCACTGGCTCCCAGTGGTCTTCCGGGTGCACTTCAAGGTTTTGGTTACCACCTTTAGAGCGCTCCATGGCTTAGGACTTGGTTATTTACGGGACCGCCTGCTGCCACCAATAGCCTCCCACCGGCCAGTACGCTCTCATAGAGAGGGGCTCCTCCGGGTGCCGTCAGCCAAACATTGTTGACTGGCGGCCCCTGGGGGAGAGCCTTCTCTGTGGGAGCACCTGCTATCTGGAATGAGCTCCCCTTGGAGATACGGAGGATCCCGGATCTACGCACCTTTCGCCGCGCTCTCAAGACTTTCCTATTTCAACAGACCAGCCTGGCCTAACTTTAACTTTTTCTTTTCCTTTTTAATCCCAATGATGAATTTTAAATTTGTCTTAAAAACATTGGGGTTGTTTAAATTGTCACGGGCCAAATTATTTAATCAGATTTTATATTGTTTTTAAATTTTTAAATTTATGTGTTTTATCTGGCTATTCACCGCCCTGAGTCCTATGGGAGTAGGGCAGTATATAAATCTAATAATAATAATAATAATAATAAAAAAAGGCAATGGGGAAGCAAGATTCACAACCATGTTACTAACTTAACAACTGCAGTGATTCACTTAACAACTGGGTAAGAAAGGTCATAAAATGGGGCATAAAACTCACTTAACAAATGTCTCACTCAACAACATAACTTTGGGGCTCAATTGTGGTCATACCTGTACTATTCCAAATCTTTCTCATCTTTATTCTCTTCTCTTTTCTCTTCTGCTAATCTTTCCTACTATCTTCTCCTATTGGTATCTTATGATTTATCACATTGTTTGTATCTTATGATTAATGATGGTGACTATGACTTATGACCTATCACCTCATTGTTTTATTGTACACTGAGAGCTTATGCACCGGAGACAAATTCCTTATGTGTCCAGTCACACTTGACCAATAAAGAATTCTATTGTAGTCTAAAAAAAATGGCTGTCCAACCCTAGCAAGTATATGAAATTTTCATATATAGAAATTTAAATAATAAATAATAAATAAATAAATATGTTCTGTTATATTGCTCACTTAGTCAAAAGACACATGCAATAACCAAGAAATCATGCCTCCTTACTTTGTCTCGTAATTCCAGATACGGACAGATTTGTCCAGCGAACATGTAGCAACAAGTGGTTTGCGAATGCAGGTATCCAAGCCAGTAACAGAAGAAGAGTGTATTGGGAAGTTCAGGTATTCAAAATGAGCCGTCTCTCCCTTATGAAACATTGTATGTGTTATCGAACAAATACTTGTATGATAGTCTAACACTAAATCTACCAAACGTTCTCAATGGGAACAAATTCTCTATCAGAACAAAATGTGCAATGACCTTAGCTTTCAATTATCATCAAAAAGAAGAAAGCAAAGTGATTATAGCAATGTACTTCAGCAGATAGCTAAACCTATCTGGACTTAGTTACTAGGTCCAGGATCAAATCTTGGTGGGGCACCAGAAGTGGTATTCAGGAGGTTCTGACCAGTTCTAGAGAACCGGTAGTGGAAATTTTGACTAGTTCAGAGAACCGGTAAATACTACCTCTCACTGGCCCCGCCCCCATCTATTTTCTGCCTCCCGAGTCCCAGCTGATCGGGAGGAAATGGGGATTTTGCAGTAACCTTCTCCTGGAGTGGGGAAGGAATGGAGATTTTATAGTATCCTTCCCCTGGAATAGGGTGGGAATGGAGATTTTACAGTATCCTTTCCCTGCTACGCCCATCAAGCCATGTCCACAGAACCGGTAGTAAAAATTTTTGAATCCCACCACTGTGAGGCACCTCTGGGAAATTCCAGGACTTGTGCTATGAGGGAAGTAAACATCCTTCCCAAAAAAAAAAAAAAAGCCAATGCCAAACCATTTCTACCCCTTTGCCGAGAAGACTGCATGGGCATGTCCATAAAGTCGCCAGGTTGACTTGAAGGAGACTTCACATATTTATATTGTACCTGAATCTACACAAATTACCCTCAAGTAACTTAGCTAGAAATAGCCACTTCTAAAACAGCTGCATATTTTAAACAGATGAAATTACTCAAAAAAATGAAAAGAAAAAGATTTTCAACAAATATCCAAGCACAGTATTAAAAGAATCTTAATAGATGTTCAAGCAGAAAGTATATTTCATAATAGCCCTCCTATTGGAAAAGTCTGGTTATGGATACCTGCCAATTTGTTCTTATATTGAAGAGCTGTCAACCTTAAAATGGAATCTATTACGAGTGGATGAATCCAGCTCAAAATGTTTAGGGCTTTAAAGACAAGTTAAGCTGAATTCAGAAATAAAATGCCAATGTATGAACAAAACAATATGCCCCAATTTCTGGATTGTAAAGAGTTATTTTATTGTTATACTGCCAATTACCTGAATTTCTGATCTTCTTTAAAAGCAGTGTGTCTAGCCATTTTTAAAAAGTTGCCTCTTGCCCTAACCTCATTCCATATTAAGGTATGATTGGTGGATATTTTTCTGCAAACTGGTAATACTTTGTGGGATGGGAGGGAAATCTGTGGAGGCTCTCTTAATGTGCCCAGAACACTGTAATTATATTTGTTGGTACAATACCTGTAACAGGGTAGGGATCTTTAGTGGGAGCAGCAAATTTTCTGCTCACTGAAAGTGTAGTGAATAATATTTTAACTCAACCATGAGGATGTGTCTGATGCACACTTATTAAGAGTGTTTCTACATTGCAGAAATACATTTTTAAATGTTGCCTGCGTAGTACTTCTTTTTATTATTTGAACTTATTATTTATTTATATTTATATTTCTAAACCTCCCATCTCCCTCAGAGGGGGCTCTGAGATAACTTACTTTAGTTAACTCAGCTGATGACATGGAAAGATAATACACCTGATTTTTAGTTGTGCTGATGAGAAGTGTCTCTTCTGCAGGGCTGAAGGCAATACACACAACCTCTTGTTTATCTGATTGGTTTGGATCACTGCTGCATGGATCTTGAGGAATCTATAAAATAAAATAACCACATTAGACTTTGTTTCCTTAAATATATCCCTACAGCAATTCTGCAGAAAAATAGTAATTAAAAACACATTTTAAATAGCAATAGCACTTAGACTTATATACTGCCCCACAGTGCTTTTCAGCATTCTCTGAGTAGTTTACTATGTCAGCATATTGCTTTCAACAATCTGGGTCCCCATTTTACTGACCATTTTACTGAAGGATGGAAGGCTGAGTCAACTCTGAACCTCCTCAAGGATTGAACTCCGGGCTGTAGGTGGAGTTTGCCTGCAGTACTGCATTCTAACCACTGCACCACCATATTTAAAACTTGAATATTGATCCCTATGGGATGACTAATATTCACAGTGCACAATTCATTTGTGCTACAAATAAGCAGAACAATTTTCTCTTAAGTGTGGCCCTATGACTAACCATATATGATGGACCGGAACTAGGTGAGAGGATTACATAACAACTTTGTCACTATCAAACACTATAGTATGTTTTTTGTTTGGTTTGGCAGCATCCCTCTCAGTCTTCTCTTTCCAAGCATCAGTTTTACTAGTCTGGTCTGGGAAATAGTGTTTCACAGTAGCAAAATGAAGGATTATACCCTTCATAACTTTTACGTACCCGAATCTCTCGACTTTCTCGGTAACCATCTTTCTCATCTGATTTCTCAAACAGTAAAACAATACCTGGACCAGCAGAGCAAGCAAATCCTTTGGAATATGCAGCAATAGCAGAGACTCGGGGCAGAGAGGTTTGCTGCTGCCCTTCAGTTTCAGAAACTGCCTCAGTAGAGTACTCAGGGGAATTAGTAACAGGAAATTCAATGAGGCTTGAAAAGTAAATGAGACAAAGAGAGCAATTAAGAATTTCAAATATTTGTTGTACAGTGTGTAAAAAAAAACATTGTGCTCCTTTAAGATAGTTGTTTTCCCAATATGTAATTTTAAAGTTGCTGTGCTGTATACATTTCTAAGATTTAAAGTATAAGATTTAAAGTAAAGTATTTCTGAATAAACACATTTTACAAATCAAGAACGTTTCCTGGAAGCAAAATACTCAAAGATAATAACTTGATCAAGGTCATCGTACAATAATAATAATATAGCTTTATCAGAAACTGGAGATTTAGTCCAATTGTTGAATTATGCTTATTTTTGATCTTTGATTGAACAATTTGCAGAAATCTCACCTTTCTGATTCTATAACTGGTTCTTCATTCAACATTTCAGTTGGCTCTTTCCGCTCAATACTTGTCTCCCACCGTAAATCACCAGAATCAAATAAATAGAGTTTGCCTATATCAGTACCCACAATCACTTTATCTTCAGATAGCCAGGCATGGGACAAGTAGTTTTGGGGCTCTCCCCGTATGAAATTGGTCTGCTTTAAGGATCCTTCTGTGTATTTGTATAACTTGAAAATACCATTTCCTATGACACAGACTTGAGTATTATCCTGAGGATTGAAGCTCACCTGAAAACAAACACACATACACAATCATTTGATAATTATTATTGTATGTGCAATTCAACTAATTGATTTAATTCATTAAAATCAAGGGCAACACAATTCTATTATATTTAGTGTGTATATATACATACAGTATGTTAACCTTACTATGCAGTCCAGACCAAGAAATCCACAGGAAGGTTAAACTTATTTTTATTGGGATTGACTACCAGTATGTTAACAGAATCTTGCAAATGTAATTATTCAGTGCCCCTTCTTCCTTCTTATACTCCACTGAATTAGGAAAGTATCAGTAACTACCTGAATCACTTCTGGATGTTAACTCATAGTTCTGGACCTAAAAATGTTTCAACCCACCTTTCCCTTGGTATAATTATTCATTTTTTAAATAGTCATTAACATTATCAAATTAATTTATTTATAACAATTAAATATATAAACTGAAAAAGGCAGAAAAGTAAAAAAAGTAGAAGTGCAGAAGAGAGAAAGGGAAAAAGAGAAAAAGAAAATTAAAAATATAGCAAAAGAAAAAGTATTCATGTGACTTATCATCTCCATCACAAGTATAAACAATTTTGTAACACCTTGTCTTAAAATAAATTATTGAAGAACCAATCTATTCATCAGCTCTTCATTCTGCCAGAGTTGTTGATTCCACTTTACAAAGCCATCTAGTCTGCTATTTCTTCCTTCAGATGCTGCCATGGTACCAGTTCCTGTATATTTCTGTCAAGGTCATTTTTCCTACTCTCTATACCATGTATAGATATATTTATTAGATTTGTATGGCGCCAAATCCAGATTGATTCATGGCAGCTTTTTGTGTAATGATAGCTAAATAAAAAACCCATAAACAAAAATGAATATGGTTTAAAGCCATTTGCTCCTAAAACATAGGAAAAAAACCCAATTATTTAGAATGTTAAATTTTTAAACAATATAAGAAAGATGTTTGCCTGACCTCTTTTACAAAAGAAACAACCTTATGCAAATTTCCACTGCTAAGCCAGTTCCTAGTCTGGAAGCCAATTTCCTGCACATACTGAACCTCAGGATGCTATTAATTGGTGATAAGTCCAAGTGTAATAAGATCACATTCATACATGATATGGTGATGGATCAATGGGCAAACCTAACATTATTCCTGAGGAGTGGTTCGGCAAACGCTTTATACTCAGTCATGCAAGTTGATTACTTTATGTCATCAGACTTTTTTCTTTTTGTTCAGCATTTTTTTTTTCTTAGCCTGAAACCTTTACACACTCATGAAAAGGATGTCTTTCAAATATTTAGACATTATTGTTCCCCATTTAGTTAAAAGCAAAATTGTAGCGGTCATTCTACATATAACTTAATTCAGTACTACATCATTAACGTTTTGCATTACCCACTTCAAGTTAGAGGAGAGAGTTGTTCAGCTGTTCAAAAATGAAGAAAACTAATTTCGCACAACTTAAGTATAATGAATGCATTAAAATGTTTAATTAATTATTTTAATAAAAATAATGGCTTTTAATTAAATATTACAACAATGATAATAAAAATAATAATTTTTCTCCGAGTCCAATAGCATCTTGTGGGAGATAAAAAACTGACCCAAAAAATAATGACAAAAAGATGTGAACATAAGAATTTTAGGCTATAAAGATTTGACAACATTATCATCACAGAACGAACAAACTATAGTAATTAAAAAATAATAGATTGGTATATTGGAAATTTCAGATAAGTAGTATGATATTTATCCTACGCTCCTTTATAGTTACATAATTCTCTGTCCATAAACTCAAATAAAACTCTTACTTTAATTGTGAGCAATATTAGTCACATAATTATATCATGTAAGGGCTGGAAGATATCTTAGAGATCATCTAGTTAAATTGACAGTCATGTCTCCAAAACACAAGCAAGAATTTTTGGATTAGGACAATACCATGTTTGGATTGTTATGCAAGTGGCAGCAACAACAGAACAAGCTGTCCCAGGTTTGCCAATCTGCAAACTATTGAAATTTCTACCATTTTTGGATGTACCAAGACAAATACAGAATAGAGATAACTGGAATTGCACACTGAAGCTATCTTTACAGTAACATATTTTTTTCAATACTGTATCCAGAGGGCCAACATAATTACTGACACTTAATTGTTCCCAAGATATTACTTATCTTCAACTTACTTGATAAAGAGGGTTATTCTGAACATCAGCCCTAATAATTGCCATTGTTCTTTGTTTTTCCCACATCCAATAGGCAAGCTGTGATTCAGGAGGTCCTGCCTGTGCCACTAAATATTTGGAATCAGGAGAAAAAGCCAGGCTGATAAATTCCTGCACAGCAAAATCAAAGGTATTCAGAATCTTCCGCTTCTTGCATGGGACGGATGACAGTTCATAAATTGTGATAGCTGGTTTATCTTGAAGTGTCTCTGAAATGGCCAGATAGCGTCGATTGGGACTTATTGCTAGTGCAAGCATCCCTTGGCTTTTTTCTGAGCCTACATAGTACATAGACAAAAATATGAAATTCCTGTAAGTTTAACATCGTAATGTTAAATTTTGATTAGGGACAAAATAGCACCAAATTACAATATTATGGTTATCCACATAAATCACCTGATTTTCTAATAAACACTTTAATATATCTCCAAGTAATAATGCAATTAAGTAAATTATGAGAAATCCATAAAATGCTTAAATGCTAGTTCTGCATTATAATAGAGATAGAAATTGTTGACAGAATTCTTAATTTACTTGCTCATCATTGGCTCATATTTAACTGTGATCATGCAAATCACTGCCTCATTTAGATTTAAGTCTAGTGCCTTGCAATTCACATTACTCAAGTGAATTGAATTAGCTTGGCCTCAAACAATTTCTCCTATCTTTTTTGGCATATTTACATGAAAACTAGAATAATTCATATAGGTTTTAAACTACTATAATCATATTATATACAGATCTAACAACTGTGGCTAGTTTTACAGTATTAACTATACTAATTTAAATCTAAGATTTAAGAATGTAACTATTTCCAATAAATAGTTATTCATCTGTGACAGTAAACAGAAGATAAACAGAAGCAAAAGCATCCAATTCTGAGTACATTAAACAAAAGCTAAAGCTTGGTAAACATTAAAAAGTAAACTGGAAGTTCATATTGCCTATATTTTTATTTAACCTGTAAAGTATATTGTAAAAGACAAAGATATTACTGTATTTTGTTTATCAGCACTGATGATAAACGAGCAGTATAGTGAAAACAAACTTTGTACCTCACATTTGGAAAGAATGAATAATGTAAAATAGCTATCTTCCCCCAAATTGTTATCTCAATATGCTACTTATGAGAGCCAGTATGATTAATGTGTTGAATTATGATGTTGGAGACCCATGTTGTAATCTATTCTCATCCATGGAAGCTCACTGGTGATTTAAGGTCAGTCACTTTCTCTCAGACCAACTAACATTGGACTTAACACCATACATAGTTTTAAAGTTTTCAAATTCGTTAGTTTATGAGCTTATAGTGGTCCTTGACTTATGACCACAATTGAGCCCAATTGTTGTTAAATGGGACATTTGTTAAGTTGAGTTTTGTCCCATTTTACAATCTTTCTTGCCTATAGTTATTAAGTGAATCACTGCAACTGAGAAGTTAGTAGCCTGGTTGCTAAATGAATTTATTTTCCCCATTGACTTTGCTTGTCAGAAGTTTGCAAAAGGTGATCACATGACCTTGGGACACAACAATGGTCATAAATATGAACCAGTTGCCAAGTATCTGAATTTTGATCACACGATCATGGGGACGCTACAAAGGTCGTAACTGTGAAAAATACTCATTAATCACATTGTTCAATGCCATTGTAACTTTGAACCGTCGCTAAACGAACTGTTGTAAATTGAGGACCACCTGTATTTAAATCCTGCAAGCGAAGAGAGAAAACAACAAACAATATATAAGAACCATTATCTCTTTGTAAGAGTATTATAGTCAAAGGAAACAGTTTCAAGGGTATAGAACTTTCCCCTTCAGAGCTGAAGAAGCTTCTTGGATGAGAAGTGAAACGTCTTCAAAGAAAAACCAGAAAGTCCAGTTGCCTCTTGAAAAAGCACCTTTGGGTTTCTCCCTTCTTGTATCGGAATCAGAAATGATAGAGGGAAAAGGGGGGAGGGGGATTAGCTAATTTACCTGGGATGAACTTCTGCCATTTCTGTTCTATGTGGTATTTCACACAGCTATTTCCCGCGGGGTAGACTATTATCTGCTCATCAAAAAAGCAAATATTATTTGCTACTCGGGACTGGAACCCAAAGATGTGGAGAGCCTGAGCCACAATCACTGACATGGCGACTGAATTCAGAAAACTGCGTGAGAAAGAGGAGAGACAAACGGGAGAGGATTTATTAGGCGGAGGAGGTCTTTCCCTTCACGGATAAACCTCCCTGGGACGGGGCTCTTCGGCTACTCTCGGCGGTCTCGCTCCTTCTGTTCGTTGCTCGCTCCGATCCGTTTTCAAAAATTGCTACCAACTGCCCAGAATTCTCCCTCAGGACCTCAGCCCCGCTCGGGAAAAGAGTAGGAAGAAGATGCGCCCCTAAGACTGAGCGCGAGGGAAGAGAAGGGGTTGCCATGGCGACAGCGTCCCCAGGACAAGGCTAACAATTTGGCGGAGCGGAACCGGAAATAGATGGAACAGCCACGGAAAGCGGAAGTCCTCCCTTTTTTTTTTTTTAACAATTCCTCGTGGTGGATGGCTGAAGGGGCTTTTTTTCGGGCTAAGTTGAATTCACCGGGGGAACCGGTTGATCAAAGTGAGTAGGACGCCTTTAGAAATTTAAAAAGAAACATCTAAAGCTCGCAGACACAAAAGCATCGACCATAGCTAATCTAAAATAGAGACCGCATCGAATTTCTTAAGCAGATAGTTAATGGAGTGGATTCCGAAGAATGGAAGGAATTTTAGATTCGGTTTAATGCAAAATTAATAATTGGAGAGAGAGGGGTAATTGGACATTCAATAGGCTGTAGATGATCATGTTTTGTATTTTGTTTATTTTCAAAGCAAAAAAAAAAAAAGATGGAAATTACAAAATACCGATATGACATGGAATACCTTTGCATTTAATTTAAAGTGACTGTTCCAAGGGGAGGGGGATTTCCTTATATAGAGGCTTGGATTAAAACAAATATAAAGCAAAGTCATGATAGTTAAAACACTTTAGTACTTTTCACAAATACTTTTAGTACTTCATGATAGTTAAACACTTTAGTGCGTTCAATAGTACTTTTTAACTATTAAATCAGGTTTTAGATTAGTTGAGAGTTATGTTTGATAAAGCATAATTATTTTATTTTTTATTTATTAATCATATTTCTATGCCGCCCACTCTCCGAGGACTCTGGACATTATACTAAATAGCATATTGCCCCCAACAATCTGGGTCCTCATTTTACCCACCTCGGAAGGATGGTAGTCTGAGTCAACCTTGAACTAGCAGTCAGCTGAAGTAGCTGCAGTACAGCACTCTAACCACTGCGCCACCTCGGCTCTATAACTATGATCATAGTTAAAGAGTGTAGAATCCTTATTTTAAAAGAGTCCAGGTCAAATGTAGTAACAGGTCATGTACAGAATTGTATTTGAAAAATACTTTCCAGGTTAAAATGAAATTGACATGTTGTTTTTCATGTATACAGTTATTTTAAACATTGATGCATAATTTTTTTTTTTTTTTTTTAATTTGATTTATATGCCGCCCTTCTCCGAAGACTCAGGGCGGCTTACAATGTGCTCAGCAATAGCCTTCATCCTTTTGTATATTTATACAAAGTCAGCTTATTGCCCCCACAAACTGGGTCCTCATTTCACCTACCTTAGAAAGGATGGAAGGCTGAGTCAACCTTGAGCCTTGGCGAGATTCGAACCCTGTAGTAATTGCAGGCAGCTGGTCTTAATAAGCTTAATAACAGGGTGCCTTAAACCCCTGTACTACCAAGTAATAGCTCCTAATTTAATAGAGCTTATATATGGATGGGGAAAACCTCATCAATTAACATTGTCTGTGCCTTGCTGAGGGAAGGATGAAGTTAGCAGTCCAATTCTGAATTTGTTCCATGGCTTGAATTTGCAGTATGTTGTCTGATTATTTTCTTGGTTTTGATGTAGCTTGGAGGCAAAATCCAAACATCTCAAAAAGCAGTCTAAGATGCCGCCCATAGCAATGGAGCAAGAATTGTCATTATCCTCTGATTCTGAAGAATCTGTTATAGCAGATCAAGAGGTATGTTTGGCACCTGAGAAATACCCCAATATTCTAGTAGTGTGTAAACTATAGGAATGAAACATTAAATTAACATTTAAGCTGAATTTTAAATGATCTTGTGTGAATTGATAAATGCAGGCTGATATGGAGCACTGCTGTTTTGGAACAGTGCTTTGGAGGTCTTTAAGCAGAGGTTGGACAACCATTTGCCTGAAATGATATAGGACCTGCCTGAGCAGGGGGTTGGACTAGAAAACCTCCAAGGTCCCTTCCAACTCTATTATTCTGCTTTAATTTGTCTAGGACAATTATACACAATTTCAATAATCTTAAAATTTATAGCTGCTTTAGATTACTTTTTTTAAAAATTTGATTTATATGCCACCCTTCTCCGGAGACTCAGGGCGGCTTACAATGCGTTAAGCAATAGCCTTCATTCTTTTGTATATTTTATACAAAGTCAGCTTATTGCCCCCACAAACTGGGTCCTCATTTTACCTACCTTAGAAAGGATGGAAGGCTGAGTCAACCTTGAGCCTTGGAGAGATTCAAACCAGCAGAAATTGCAGGCAGCTGTGTTAATAACAGGGTGCACTAAACCACTGTACTATCAAGGCTCTACTTGTAGCTGCATTGTAATCAGAGATATGTGTTTATTTAAATAGCTAAAATAATTCTATTTAATATTTATACAAGGTGTTTCAAATATTCAAAACATGATTATCGTAAAGGTAGAGATATCTGTAAGGGAGAGTCTATAGAGATTCTCAGTCATCCAGGTCATGGTTGTCCCAAAAGTGCTTTTTCAGGAGGCAACTGGACTTCCTTGGTTTTTCTTTGAAGATGTTTCGCTTCTCCAGAAGTTGGAGGAGCTTCATCACTGGAAGCTTTCAAGAAGAGACTGGATTGCCATTTGTCAGAAATGGTGTAGGGTCTCCTGCTTGGGCGTGGGGGGGGGCAGGGTTGGACTAGAAGATCTACAAGGTCTCTTCCAACTCTGTTAATCTGTTAAAGCTTCTTCAGCTCTGACTAGATGGTGGGGAATGGAAGGATTTATATTCCTTGCGGACAGCTGGTCATTTGCATCCTTTTAGAGCAGCGGTCACCAACTGGTAGTCCTGAGGACCACTGGTGGTCAGTGAGAAAATTTTGGTGGTCTACAGAAAAATAATTTGCATTTTTTATATTGCACTAAATACTATTTATCTTTTTTTTAAAAAAATGATATTAGTGGTCTGTGGGATTTAAAATTATGAATTTAGTAGTCCCTGAGGTCTGAAAGATTGGCGACCCCTGTTTTAGAGGGTTGATGAAGCACTTGGAGGTTTATCGCTGACTCTGAGGATACAAAGAAAACGTCTTCAAAGAAAAAACCTCCTAGTTGCCTCCTGAAAAAGCACCTTTGGGACATCTGTAAGGGAGATAACTGACAATTAGACATTGGTATGCAAGTACTGTACATAAAGATGGTAATTGTGTTGTGATGTAACTATGCACGTTTCCATTTTTGTATTATCATGACTTGCTATATTGTATTAAGATAATGATATCCTTGATTAGAACTTAACCCATGATGACTACATTAACTCAACCATGAATGGGTATAGAAGTGGTTTGTCATTGTCTTTCTGCAGGAATGTACCTGCAACCATAGAATTCCTTGATTGTCTCCCTGTAATCTTACCCTTTTTAGGGTCTGAGGCCAGATAAGGTTGACCAATTGTCACTAAGATGAGGCTGAATTATCTTAGTTATAATTAAAACAGTTTGTTATCCCAAATAGGTTAAGGGGCTGTGCCTGAAAGTATAGTGAGTTTAGGTTTGCATATTATCTGTGTTAATGACAGTATTAGTTACTGTGCCACACTTAAGAATTGCACAGTGTAATACATAGTATCTAATCTAAACCAGAAATGCTCATGTGGCATCAGGATAAATGCTGTAGCTTGGAAATCACTGACCAAGTGTTTCTTTTCCCTTGTGTGCTCATTTATGTGCTTTGACGTCACATGCTCACTTCTTTTATCAATGGGATCAGTTTTATATTTGTATATATTAATTTTGTAATGTGTTAACATAAATACTACCTTTTTTCAATATAGCTTCAGGAAGCCTTTGCTAAAGGTTCATTGAAACCGGGCTTAAATATTGTGTTGGAGGGACGACCAAAAACCTTTAATAATGTGGTAAGTACTGCGATATCAGTTGTTTGCACTTTTTTGGTTGTTTTTGAACAACTCATTGTTTACTTCGTATTTTTAAACATCAGCCTTTTAGTACACTGAATTGGAATTCTAAATTCAACACCAAGCATTCAAGGGTTGCATCTATTTATCTGACAGCTCGGTGGGTCCAGCCTTTTAGATTAGGCGTCGTTGATTGGTTACAAGCTTTAACTCCTTGGTTTTTGGAAAAAAAAAAAAAGTTAAAAATGTTGGCAAGTAAAATATTCCATTTATAAAGGTACAGTGTTTTCAGTTTGGTATATTATGAACGTACTATACCGTAATATGAGCGTAATACGAACGTAATACGAACGTAATAGAGACTAGTGGAGCATGCTGCCAGTGTAACAAAGCACTACATTTTCTATGTACTGTAGATCTTTGTTAGGAAGATCTTAAACTCAGAATACCTAACATTCATTGATTAGAATTTTTAAATATTGCACATTTTGTCTGATGGGCATATAACTGGAATCTGGCGTTTGGGAGAAATTGGTGTATTAGTGCAAAATCATATTGCTTGCTTTAAAATGAATATCATCTGCAACCATTCTGAGTGGTAGTTTGGATAATATGATGTATTAACTGATATGGAGAAACATCTAAGCATTGAGGTTATGTAGAATTAATATGATCTTCCTAGGATGGATTGAAACGATGCTTGTCTGAATTCCAAAGAAACCTGTCCTGGGTCGAAAGGCTTGATATTACCTCTCCGCTGCAAACAAATGTCACCGGTGCAGCTTCTAAGAACATAGTTGAAAAGGATTCTGTTGACCCTGAAGATGACTTTAAAAGAGAAATGAACTTGTAAGTCTTAATGTATAAGGCAAAAGTTTCTCTTATGCTGGGAGTCTTATATGCAGCCTTTGTTTCATTCTCATGCACAATAGATGATACAGTGTGAGTTCACATGAAGTGCTAGACAGGTCGACATAGGGCACTAATCCATAATGAATGGATTCTTATATACGAAACAGAAGTAATATAGCTTAATAATGTGTGTTAACTGGTCCACCACACTATGTATAAGCTATATGTTGATATAATGTTAATAATAAGTTCTTTTACTTCCCACTGCACATGTAACAACTTATTAGCATATTGACACTATTTGTATAGCTGCAGTTGTTTGACAATGCATATTAAAAAGCTTACCTC